GTTTCGGCCAAACTCAATGGCCTGAACTCGACTTTCTTACGGCCCTGGTTCCACTTCTCCGATACCGCCCCGGGATTTTCTGCGGATCTCAATCCGGCGCTCTGCCGCTCTCGGCCCTGGACGATGGATCTGGACCAATGCCTCCGCTTTGTTTTATTACCCACCCGGCTATTTCGTCGCACTACGCTGCTTGTAGCCATTTTTTGTTGACTGCAGCCCTTGGAATGACGCATCGCTGTCAACAGTAAATTGAAAATACCACCGACGAGATGACCCGGGTTTTCCTGCTTCTTTTGTTTTTCTACCCGTTGTCCCGTTCTTTTCTTCACAATTTTCTCTGACTGTCATCTTCAACCTTTGGCCGTCATCTCTATTTTCTGACCGTCTCACCCTTGGCTTACTGCCTTCCTCCTCCTCTATTACTTTCTTGACCCATTGTCAAGCTCGTTTGTAAGTCGTGGTGTTGTATTTTCCACTACACCTGGCTCAAAAGTATATAAACACTGTTTTTTTTTCTCGACATGAAGCTTTTCCCTTCTCTCTCAGACGACCTTGCTCGTTGGGCAGAGCTACAACCCGTCTTCTTCACCGGCTCAGCTTCTACCCATGGCCGCCACGTCAATGTCTCTCCCAAAGGCCTAGATGCGCACTTTGCCGTCCTTGGCCCAAATCAATGCGCATACATCGACCGCACAGGATCTGGGTGCGAAACAATTTCTCATGCGTACGAGAACGGACGTCTTTGTCTCATGTTTATGAGTTTTGGCCCTTCACCGCGTATCATGCGACTGTTTTGTCGCGCCACCGTTGTCGAGTGGGATCAGCCGGCGTTCCCTGCCCTCGTTCGCAGGGTCGCCAAGGGGAAACGAGATGCCTTTGATGGTGCTCGTGCCGTCATTCTTTGTGATATTTGGCAAACCCAGACTAGCTGTGGCTTTGGTGTCCCGCGGGTGAAGAAGGCACTTTACAGCCCTGAGAGCCAAGACGACTCCGGCAATCCTGGTGTCGCAAAGGCTGTTGAAGACATCCTTCGTGAAGGATTTGGGGATGACGAGAAGCTCACCGAGCTTTCCGTCTTTGAACAACGCCCCAACTTGGACAACTATGCTGCGAATCAGGTTCAGCACAATAAGACGCTGAGCTACCAAGTTGAGAAAAACTGCAGCAGTCTCGATGGCCTTCCCGGGCTGAGAGCAGCGCGGCGTGAGGCCGGACAGAAGCTTTGGGTGGGCGACTTGAAGGCTAGGATACGGCGAATCGCTTCGGAGGGCGAGGCTGTTGCGGCGGGCTTTCTGTTAGCGGTTGTCTTTTATTTTGTTTTGCTTTGGATAGATGTACGCTGGGTTTCTACGATTATGTTGTAACGGTATTGGCCATGTTATGAGATAGATGGAAGACGGAGGGTTTTGTCTTCTGATCATTTCCTTTTATTTTCCCTTTCTTCTTTTTTCTTCTTTTCCTTCTCTGTTTATCTATTCCCCTTGTTTCCCTTGCTTGGCTTTTCCTATTTCTCTTTTTATGTTCTTTTTTTGTGGATGTTTACGATTAGGCTTGTGGATGTTGTCATGGTCATGTTCACGATTTGCTTTTCGCCTGGATGCCTTTTTGTTCTTAGTTATAGATATACGTGGACGATCCCTTGCGGGTGAAAATAGTTTTTTTTTTATGATATGGGATTCCTGGTGGCTTTGAAGATTGATGATTGGACGTGAATGCTTATGATCAATATGTGAACATTGGACCCGAGCATGGTAGAATGAACATTCATTATCCTAAAACTGTCTGGTCTGTTTTATTCGCCGTTAGAAGCGGCATTCAACTACGGTATAGGCTCGGAGCTGGCTAACGACCAATCCCTTGCATACGATCCCAGTCCATCTCCTTACGCACCATCCCTTCTCCCCCATGGTACAGATACGTATATCGCCTTGCATCGAGGATTTCTTTGTGCAATGTCAAGGATCCAGCTATGCACGACAGACAATGAAATGATGATTGGTCTCTGCATTCTGTTCTGGTCGTCGGGTCTGCTGATGGCCCCCAAGTAACGGATCCTTGGTTTCTGACAATAATACTAGGTGTATGACATCGTCTAGCGCAAGGCGTAGAGATGGAACCGCTTTCTTTTGTGTATTTCGCTTGGACGCTAACCATTTCCCTTTCCGCGAAGAAGAAAAAAGTTTATCCAGCGGAGCCCAAAGCGAGAACGCCGCGATCTGTGATGCATTCTGCCGAGCTGGTTGGGTCCGCTGTGACTACTTCTTTTTAATAAATCAGAATGATAATGAAAAGGCGTCGTGAGGTTTGACAAAAGAGAGCAAATAGCTCAGCCACCGCTCGTCGCGGCAATGGGAGTGCCGTTAGTAGCAGCGGCCCCCTTGCCGCCTCTTCCACGTCTTCCGCGTCCGCTGCTCGAGCTCTTTTCAGGGGCAGCGCCGTTGCTAGCCGTGTTGGATGTGGACGGAGCGGCGGCAGCGGCGGCATTGCCACTTCCCGACGAAGGAGCGGCAGGTTTCTTATCCTTGCGCTCCAAGACTTGGACGGTGCCTTGCGCGACAGAAATGGGGCTGGCTGAGATGGCCTTGGCAAGGCTGGAGTGGTCTGCGAAATCGACATACGCAAAGCCCTTGCGCTTGTCCACCTCGATGAACGTAATGGTGCCAAACACCTCGAGGGCTTGTTTCAACACGGGCTCCGTGATGCCCTGAGAAGAGTTGGCGTGCTTGACAAAGCCACGAGTGGCGTTGGCGGATGCAGCCGCCGCAGATTTCTTTTGGGAGCCTGCAGATTTGGCAGAAGCACTCTTGGGGCCGTTTGCCGCGCCGGCAGCAGGCTTGGAGGCCGTCTCAGCGGCTGGCTTTGATGCATCTGCGTCGCCACTGGCGCCACTTTTCTTTTTGAGAATGACAGGTGCAGTTGCGGTTGGGTTCTGTCCTCCGGATGCTTCCGATGGCTTGGCCTTGTCGGCGTTCTTACCGCCACGGGTCTTACGTGTTGACTGTTGTGCCTTGGAAGAGTTGTCCTTAGCGGGCGTCTGGGCATTTGTCGCCGTTTCGGTTGAAGATGGCGCGGGAGATGGTTGGTTCTCGTTTGCTGCGCTAGAGGTTTCTTTGTTTTCTTTGTCGGTTGCCGAAGATTTGGAACCGGCTTCGGCCTTTGCAGCATCTTGTCGGGCTCGTCGATAGGCACTACCTGGACTAAGACCGAGATCTCTTTGAAGCATACGGGCGGCAATGGAGACACCGGCACGGCGGCTCTTGGGGGTTGGCGCTTCAGTGGTACTACTAGCATTGCCGCTCGTGCTGGTCTGGCTTGCGGCCGGTTTGGCGGCCTCGGCAGACTTGTCAGAGGAAGCCGCAGCAGATTTCTTAGTGAGGATCTTGACGGGCTCCTTAGGAGCCGCCTTCTCAGCCTTGGAGCTCCTAGAATCCTTGCTCTTCTTCTTAGAGCCCTCATCCTCCTTAGAGGTGGATTTGCCCTTGGCTGTCGTGGTCTCTTGTCTGGAATGCTTCGCGCTCTTGGCGGCGGCAGCTTCCTTGGCTTTGTTTGCCTTCTTTTCCTTCAAATACTCAATCAATGGCGTGGTGGTAACCTTGGCTTCTGGTGCTTCCTCAACGTCTTCGTTCTCGATGCCTTCCCTTGGTGGAACGGGGTTTGCGAGACCTTCAAGAAACGCCATGAATTCCGGATCTTGGTCAATAGTTCCTTGACGAGCGTCTACCCGCTTCTTTGTCCCTGGCACCTTTTTGTAGATGGACATTTCCAGGGCTGGGGGGCTGATGAGAGAAGCGCTGTTGAAGGTGCACTTGGCATCCTCCCAGGTTGCACTTCGAACAACTTCGCTTAGCGGCATGATGTAGTCCTTCCGCATGACATGGATGTATGCTCTAGAAGGCCGAGATGGCTTTGAAAGTCTTGATGTTGCCGATGTTAGTGCGTCAAAGAAAGAGAGAACAAAGGAAAAGAGGGAAAGAGGGATTCGTATCTGGTAACTCAATAGACATACTCGTTAGACACCTTGCCAGGGGCATATGAAAACCAGTCGACTTTGCCATTGCCCACCGCCCAATCAGAACCCAGAATAGAGACACATTCGGCCTCAGTCATACCAGGAGGCAGCCGTCGGATGATGACTTTTTCGCCTTCGTGAGGAGTCCTGGTCTTCGGGGCCTTTGGCGTGTCTGCATCGTTGGTGCTCCGGGCCTCAGCATGCTTCTCAGCCGAACCCTTCTTACCGGGGCGAGACGCGCCGTCGGCAGTGGCTTTACTCTGAGCAAGGCATCAGCTCAGTTCGATCCTGGACAAGGTAACCGGGTCATCTCACCTTGGTAGACTCAGATGCCGGAGCGTTCGTCCTGCGAGACAGGACCTGCGGTGGTTGAGTCGACATTGCGCATGTCGGAGGGATTTGGAGACGCTACGTCAAGCATCAACGGAGTTTGTGTCTGGCCGGCGGCTGAGGGTTGAGATCGAGATCAAGATCAACAGATATCGTGAATGAGTCGCAGCCTTCCGTCATATGAGAATGAGAAAACACGGGTCCACTATTTAATAGCTTCGTAATAAATCGACTTGGACAAGGGCAAAAGCAAAGGCCTGCAAGGACGGTATCATAGAAATCGGAGTTAGTGAGCGCCGCTTTAGTTGAGACTTTTCGTGGCGAGAGAGGTATGGAGCCGTCACGTGCCGCCGTTGCGAGGAGGAGATTCGATGATATGATTGATGGAATGTGCTGTTATTTTTATCACTACAGCGCAGTACAAAGGTGGTTAATCAAAGCCAGCAATGTTATTGAATACAAAGACGAGGTAATACGAGAAAATCCAAGTGGCCAAGCGTGTATCTTTGCAAGACCGTGACTTGTATGAGACAAGTTATGCACACTCCTGCAGCCGTGCTTGATACGATGCCGGTACCAATGAGAGACCTGAACCAGATCAATGCTACCTCCTACTGTAAAAGCGCCGCACGCCACTGAGCCTGCTGCTAGTTCCAGTGAGCGCACAGGCCCCTCCGAGGAAGATCCGGCGCTGGGCTCACTGAAGCGCAAGCCCCTGGCGCCCTGAAACAGCAAGCCAGCCAGCCAAAACCCCCACCACAAACTCGAGCGTCATCTTGGGCCGCTGATAAACCATCATTCAGCCAAAACCCATCCCTTGACTTTTGGCATCGTGTCGGGCTGACACAACCTAGCCGTTGCGCCGTTGCCAGACTGCAGTCGCCAAGATGACGACAAGTGTTCCTCGACCTGGCCCCGCCAATCTGGGCCCCAATGCTGGGCTGGACGAGTGGCTGGAGGAGGCCAAGCAGTGCCACTATCTGCCCGAGAGGGCCATGAAGGAGCTGTGTGAAAAGGTCAAGGAGATCTTGATGGAGGGTATGAATACGAACGCATGGAGAAAGAAGCATGAGATCATGCAGTCACTAATGCCACGAGTCTCGCAGAGTCCAATATCCAGCCCGTCTGCACGCCCGTCACCGTCTGCGGCGACATCCACGGCCAGTTCTACGACCTGCTCGAGCTCTTCCGCGTCGCCGGTGGCATGCCGGGAGAGACAAACGTCCAGGCGCCCAAGTCAGCAACCGCAGTCATCACCTCGGAGGACATCGAGCCCCCGACCGAAATCACAAACCCGAAGCTGAGGAAGAAGCTAAAGTCTCCCGGAGGCGGGGCCGATTCGGGCGATGCTGAAGGTGACGAGGACGCAGAGGAAGAGCAGCAGGGAGCCGTCGAGGTGCCCGCGGTGAATACAGTCACCTCTTCGCAGAGCGCGGAGACTCGCTTTGTCTTTCTTGGAGACTACGTCGATAGAGGATACTTTAGCTTGGAGGCGTTTACATTGCTCATGTGCTTGAAGGCAAAGTATGTTGTTTCTGTGGCATTTGGGGCTCTTTTTATCTTCTTCTTATTCGCGAGATGGCTCTTTTTCATTTCTCATGTTTTACAATTTTATCTGCGAGATGCAAATGGTGCTGACGCCATATATCTAGATACCCAGACCGCATTGTTCTCGTCCGAGGAAACCACGAATCTCGTCAAATCACACAAGTCTACGGCTTCTACGAAGAATGCCAGCAGAAATATGGCAACGCATCCGTATGGAAGGCGTGTTGTCACGTCTTTGACTTCCTTGTTCTCGCTGCTATAGTTGACGGAGAGTTGCTTTGCGTCCACGGTGGTTTGAGTCCCGAGATTCGGACTATTGATCAGATTCGGGTCGTTGCCCGTGCCCAGGAAATTCCTCATGAGGGAGCCTTTTGCGACCTTGTATGGTCAGATCCCGACGACATAGATACATGGGCCGTGAGCCCACGAGGAGCCGGGTGGCTATTTGGAGACAAGGTGGCCACCGAGTTTAACCACGTAAACGGCCTAAAATTGATTGCGCGAGCACATCAACTTGTGAATGAGGGCTACAAAGTGAGTTGACTCTTTCTTAAACCTAAATATCCTTGTTGTGCCCAACGAGGTTGCTAATTCTTGACAACTTAGTATCATTTTGACGAAAGTTCAGTCGTAACAGTCTGGTCGGCTCCCAACTACTGCTACCGATGTGGCAACGTCGCGTCAATAATGACAGTGGACAACGACCTGGCTCCCAAGTTTAGCATATTTTCCGCGGTTCCCGATGATCAGCGGCATGTACCTGCAAGCCGTAGATCGCCGGGCGACTACTTCTTGTGATTAGAATGGTGAAGAACGGTGAAGATGATGGGGAAGGGGCCATTTTAGATTGGCCGGGCTGGGTTGGGTTTTTGCATGTAAACTAGCATTACGGGTTGAGATATCTATGACTTTGAAAAATCGACAATGCATTAGGATTATAGGTAGGATTGGGGGAATCTGGGTAGCGGACACGAATAGCGGTGATAATTATCATTTAGAAGAAAAAATTGATAAACGACGCCTTCTTTTATCGCTCTTACTTTTGTATTGGTGATACAAATTGCATTTGACCATTCGTGAGTTTGTGGTGCTGGTGCTCTCATAGCATTATGATATAAGTGGACTTTAAGCGGTGGAAAACTCAACTTCCCTCTCGCATATAACTTTTCTCTCCCTTCTCTCCGCGAGAGCAACCAGCATTGACCAGCCGAATAAACGCAAGAGACGACAGAAGCAAGAACAATCTTGATATAAATCGTAATACCAATTCAGTCGCCGATCTGAAGAGCTCATAAAAATCTGGCTCAATGGCGACTCAGCAGTTGGGCCACAAAAATAGACACAGCAAACCCAAGCCACGTCAAGTCAACCCCATTACAGCCGCAATACAGAGTTGGATCGCAACAACACTTCCTTCTACTGAATCTGAAACCCAGGATTCACGGAATGAGAATCTCTTAAGCACGGCGCCGAAGCGCTTCACCATCTATGAGCCACTCGCTCTACTACCAACAGGAAGCTTCACTAGCGAAACATGGGCCTCTGTCTTACAAACCTGCGATGAAGCAGCCTGCAATTCTCTATGGCAATCCATTCTAAAGGAAATTTCCAAGACTGGACAAGGCAAGGTGACGCATTTGGCAGTGAACGAGGGCATCCCGCTGCACAAGGACGGGGAGGATGCCGAGAACGTGCGCAGAAGTCCGAGTGGACTCAGGATGCTCTTTGGAGACTTTGGGCCGGCGAGAGTAGGTGAGCAGCCTAAAGGAAGTGATTTTGAGGATGCTTTTTGGGTTGGGACGAAGCAGAACGGGATATTGCAGACGTGGGCTCCTAGATGGACCATGTTTTCACGGGGGAATGTCAAGGAGAAGGCGAGGGTGTTGGGATTCAATCGTCCTCCGGCTGGACGAGAGGACGTATGGGCGGTGGATTTGTATGCTGGGATTGGATACTTTGTGTTTTCGTATGCGGCGCTGGGGATGAGGGTTTTGTGTTGGGAGATTAATCCCTGGAGTGTTGAGGGCCTTCGACGAGGTGCCGAAGCGAATAAATGGAGCGTCAAGGTCATTCAAGGCGAGGATCTAGCACTGCCGATGAAGACGCTGCTTGCCGGCGGAGAGAAGATCATTGTCTTCTTGGAGAGCAACGAAAGAGCGTCGAAACGCATCGCGGAAGCTCAAAGCGCCGGGCTTGCAAGCAACATTTCGCATGTCAACTGCGGCTTCTTACCTACCAGCGAACCCGTATGGGAGAGTGCCTGGGAAATAACGCGGCTGGCCCCCGAGGCATGGCTGCATTTACACGACAACGTCGGCGTGGCGGACATTGAGAACCGGCGAGCAGCGATTCAGGCGACTTTTACGACGTGGGCTGCTGCTGCTTCGGGAGGAAGAGGAGGGTCGAGGGTGCCGAGCGTTGAGCATGTCGAGCAGGTCAAGACGTTTGCGCCGGGGGTGTGGCATTGCGTCTTTGACGTGTGTATTACAGGCGGTAGTATATCTAATAATGGTACATGAAGCAATATGTGTACATACATCAAAAACTTTCAAGAATCATGGCGTTCATCGTCCCTCGTGTCAGTTTCCAATTGCGCCGTCGCTTTCTTACATCTTCGCAAAATATCTCTCTCCTTCTCTCTCACCAATTCCAAATCAAAATATTGCCCCCCTTTTCAGAGATCCCTCAGAAACTTCTTGGGGATGTTCTCCACTACAATGGACATCTGGTCTAGCTTTTCTTGCCTCTCCTCCTCCTCCTCCATCTGCTCATGCTTCTTGAAGTGCTCAATGTCCTCCGGGTGGTTCAAGTCCTCCAACTTGGAGTTTTCATCATGGTACTTCTCCCAATGGTGAATCTCATACTCGTACTCGTCGTCGCCGTGGTGGCCCGGGCCGGTGTTCATGTCCGGAAGCGTCTTGCCTTGAGCCGTAAAGTCGGTCCACTCGTCGCGGCTCACGACGCCGTCACGGTTCAAATCGAGGAGAGCGAGTAATCCGCGCAGGATCTCGTCGCGGCGCTCCCAGGATACGTGCTTGTTGGACTCGTCCATGAGGCCGTACGTGCGGAGGAGCTCTTCGCCTTGCCAGTAGCCGTCGCTGTCGTAGTCGTGGAGGGTGAAAAAGGAGGCCGCGTCCCAGCCGTCAACGTGGTGCTCCTCTGCAGGTGATAGCTTGTTAGAAATCACAATCATAGCGCAGGAACGACTGCATGTGTTTGAGGCTCACCGGCCATGTGTTTTGTCATCCAGTTGGCATTTGCATCGACAATTGGCTTCTGGGAGTGGGGGCCATGGGCAATGGCCAGGCCCGCGACGGCGGAACAGAGGAGGAACGCTCGCATTGTGTCGCGCGGAAGAGAAGAAGCAACTAATAGGCGAATTGATAGGAAAAAGACAAGACCGGATAGAATGCGACAGGATGCGATGCAATGGGCGTCGTGGCAATGAGGCGACGTCGAGATGAGAGGTGGCCACCGGCGCTCGCTAGTATTAAGCTCTGGGCACTTGTACTGAGTCCAGCTGGAGGCCACATGTCAGCGCCGTGGAATCGCTAACGGACGGTGACATCGAGCAGCGGGGGCGCCAAAAAGGCATTGAGGGCGGCCGATGCAAGGGAAAGCATCCGCTAAAGCTGCCGGTGCTAAGCTTCTAGGTCCAGATTTGGGCTGCCAGATGAAGTGTTGATGTCACAACCGGGTGCCCTTCGCTATCAGGCTTTATTCTAATCTTACTGCCTGTAGTATTCATGACCTTCTAACATGACATTGATCTGAACAACACAAAGACCAATCAACTTCACACAGAAAATCTACGAGGCACTCGCTGTGATAAGACGACTAGTCTCCAGACCCTAAACTCTTTATCAGCTTGGACCCCGTGATCTCGCGTTTCCATCTGCCCCGCCTCGCGTCCTGATCCACGATCCAACTCGCAAGCCAGCAAAGAGTGTGGTGAATTCTAGTTCCAACTGCATCAACGCAATTGCAGTCGCCATCACAATGAGCAAGCAAGTCGAGCTCGCCCTCGTCTCGTTGATGCCGACATATGGCTCCGATCTCCCCGCCAGCCTAGTCGAGTCCGCCAGCTCTTTGCTCGCCCAATCCCGACATCTAGCCAGCACTCTCAAGGCAGAAGAGGAAATCGCCCGTCTCTATGCCTGTGCTCACATTGCCTGCACCAGGTAACAAATACCACTCAGACAGACTTGTAGGCCGAATGGCTGTTAATCAATGGCGCTTGCCGCAGGCTCAAGATTGCGTTGGACCTCCCGACGATAGAACCACGGCCACCGATACCTCCGCGAGTGTATAAGCGCTTGTATACGCATCTAGACAATATCCTTCCCAACACATCTGCTAGCGGACGAAGAACACGCAACGCTGGATCCAGGCAGCGAGATGTAGGAGAATCGCCATCCTCGCAAACTCGCCCGCTTCCTTCAAGGCCCGAGCCCAGCAAAGAGAGTAGCCTTGCGCGGTTCCGGAAACAGACGGGCCCAGATGCTAAAACACCAACCAAATCAAGCAGGCAGGGGCACACGAGTGTCAAGGAATCAGACATGTATCTATGGGTTCAGCCCGTCATCCGGCATTTGTGTGCTGGATCTGGGCACAAGAAACTGGCACCGTCAATGCTGGCAGGCATGGAGTTGATTTTCATTCCGGGGGGGCGAAAAACAAAAGATGCATGGTCATGGAAGAACGCCACTGCATTATGTGCAGCCATCATCTTCTTTGTTGCCATGCGCGCGAGGGATATTGACCTGGAACAAGCCATTCAACCTGAAATCTACGAGCCGACTCGAGCTGAGATAATTGACCAGCTAGTTCGAGCTCGCCAAGAAGTCGAGCTCAAAGGTGTAGAGCCAGATACCCTCTGGGAAGGCTGGAGCGATGTGAGCAACGACGAGTTTGACGCTGCAGCATCAAGAATCCGCGAGAAAGGCTGGCTGGAGGCCGACTGGTATAATGGCATTACAGACGTTATCAACATGGGCATGCAGCTGGATGACGATGTGGCCGATGGTCTAGATGAGGAGGACGCGTTGCAAGTTCAGCAACAGAGAGCGGATACCATGTTCCAGGAAAAGTACAACTACTTGAGTGAAGGCCGTAGAGCAGAGTACAAGGCGTGGAAAGATGCTACCCTGATGCGGATCGCAGAACTGTCTGCAACTTTGGAGGCTGGCGAAAGCAATGATACCCAATGAATAGAGGGAGGAGACAGAGGCGTTTGACATCAGAATGGTTATATACAGACTCTTTATTCGTGTTGATATAATTTACATGTACCCGACGTACAGATGCAGATTCCCCTCCCCTAGCCCAGCCTGCCTGGGACAAACGGATGTCCAGCACTCAACCCTCCATCTACAGCCCAGGCCTGTCCATTTACATAGCTGGCCTCGTCACTGCCCAGGAACAAGACGACGCGCGCAACCTCGTCCGCACGTCCACCGCGCTTCGTCGGGTTCAGCTGGCCAATCTTCTTCTCGGTGCCCCGGGCGCGCGCGGCCTCGTACACAGGCGCCGTCATGCCCGTCTCGATGATGCCGGGGCAGATTGCGTTGACGCGGACGCCAGAGCCCGCAAGCTGGTAGGACATTGTCTGGGCGAGAGAGACGACGCCGGCTTTGGCGGCGGAGTAGGCGGTGCTGCCGGCGTTTGAGCGGAGGCCGGCCACGGAGGCGGTGCCGATGATGCTTCCGCCTGGGACTTGCTTTTGAGAGGATGTTTTTGTCATGGCTGGCGCGGCGTATTTGGCGGCCAGGAAGACGCTGTAGCTTTTGGTCAGTATTCGGATAAGGTGACGCGCTCCATGTGAAAAAGACAGACCTCAGAGTGTTGATTTTGTATACGTTCATGAAATCCTCGACTCCAATGTCAGTGAAGATGACGTTTGGGCCTGTGATGCCGGCATTGGCGAAGAAGACGTCCAGGCGGCCGTACCGCTCCATTGCGTCGTCCACAACGGCCTTGACCTTGGCCTCATCCGAGGCATCGAACTGGCGCGTGTGAATCTCGACATTGGGGTGCAGCTGGTTAATCTCCTTCTTGTGAGTTTCGAGGTTTGAGCCATCGAAATCACAAATGTAAATGGCCCGGGCACCGCTCTCGGCGTACTGATGAGCGGTGGCCCTGCCGATGCCTAGGGGAGAGTTTGCGCCTACAGAATGAGTATGAGCACTTCTTTGGGAGGGAGGGAGTTGTGGCATTTACATACCGGTGATGATGACGACTTTGTCTTGGACTCGGGGCTTGCTGGAGCCGGCGGCGACTTTGGCGATAGGGGGGAGGAGTTGGGAGGTGAGAGCTTCAATGCGGTTCTCGGCTTTTGACTTGTCGGACATGATGGGCGGGTTGTGTGTGAGCTATGAAAGAGGTAGAGGTGAGGATGTACAAAAGATGGACAGTGGCTGATATTGGTCTGTTTTCAAGAAGAAAAGGGGGAGAGAAGAATAGGGAGAATGTTATAAGATGAATGTCTATTGAAAATCTTACACGGCTGTGCTGGCGATGCTACTCCCAGATTGGAGCTCTCTCCAGATTCTATATCCGGGGCAGATGGGCCTAGATGCCGAGGCTCAGCAGTAGGGAAGACGCGCCGAGGGAGCTAGACTGGTTTCGGGGTTGGTGGAGATGGTCCCCCGCAAAGTTAACAAGGGCTTTCTCCAGGAACGAAATGATGCTTGACATTGTTAACTGGCGGGGTGAGTGTATTCTGTATGTTGTTTTGGAGAGATAAGTTCCAAGGTTGGTACGGACTAAGGCTCTGATGTTTCTGGGATTCATGATATTGATCAATATCTACCTATTCAGCCGAGGTATCTGTAAGTGTTGGTGTAAGAGTGTGCAAGGATAGAGTCAATTACTCCCGTCTTTAATGAGGAAATACCAAACGACATTTATGAGTCTAGGAGAAAGCATGGTGTTTTCAAGAAGGGCCGAAATAACACTGCTTATTGAACAATGTGTACATATACGGGCATGTTAGTGTACGCAGTGAAATTTGTCCAATTTCCGCACCAAGGCATCAACTTTTTGATTTAAAGAATTCCAACATTTAGATACTTGTACGCTCTCATGAATCAGATATATAACTGACAAATACTATGAGATATCAATATTCAAAGATGAAGATCGTGCCTCTACCTAGGTACCGTGTCATACCCATGACTACCTACGGGTACTACTATGGATTGCTTGGCTACCTATCCCAATCGTCTTTGCATTGCAATCAACCTGCATGAATACCAAGACTTTTAATTCATATACTATAATCCTCTTTCAGCTCCTTCATCCTCTTGAATATATTATTCGATAGTCTTTAGAGCAGTAGGGTTATAAATATTAGCGTGCAGATACGAAGTACAAAGAGTCATGATAACGAGAGCCCGATAACCAGCAGCCCATCTACAAAACTTGCCCAAAACACCATCTCAGGCGCCATCCGTCTTCATTGGACCCTCCAAAGCCACCCATAGAAAAGTCTTCCTTACCGTGCCAATCAATTTGCATCGCCTGGTATTCAGCTGACCATCGCCCTCCAGGGGTCAAACGAGACACCGGTTCCGCATGCGCTGGCGTAACGCTCAAGGCCCAGACGCTGTGCCACGATTGCCTACACCGTTTGGGAAGAGCGTCGCTCTTTCGTCGGGTCTCTCGGCGCTCTTTTTTCTTTGCTTTTGTCCTTTTGTCACACCGCTAGAGGAGTGTGATTGTGTTCCTGTGGTGGCGGCTTTGCGCATGGGCTTGCAGCGAGGTCGCGTAAGCCAAGCTCTTGTATACGGACGCCATACACTGTTCGGTTGAGCCACGACATGGAGGAGAGCCAGAGAGGGATTTTAGGGCTGGATTCCGCCAGAAGGGGAGAGGGAGAGGGAAAGGGAGAGGCAAATACCATACTCGGCTTCCGAAACAAAGACGTCATGGCTACCTCCTTGCTCTCCTTCTTCCACTCTGGTTACCTCGCAGAACGGCGAGGCGTTGATCAGCTGCGTACCTAAACGCCCATCTTTCATCTCTAGGTGCGGACGACATGAATACGAAAAGTTTGTCCTGTATGGCTGTCAGCTCTGTGGGCAACTTGTTTGCCGCAAGCCTACGAGTTTCGGCTTCTCCAGGATGCGATTCAGCCGCTTGAGTATTGCATCCCTGCTTAGCGATTTTGTGTCTCTAGCCCCGATACTATCTCGATGACTGGATGAAGCAGAACAGCCAATTACTACTCCAGACTGCAGGGTCGGAATGGAGCTTTTGTGGTTTGTGTTCATTGCTTGGTTCCACGGTTCCTTGTTGAGCGCACCGAGCTTCCCTTTGGCTCTGGTCATCAACCAGGCCTTTTTCTTTCTTTTTACTATCGCAAATGGTACTCCCTTGGCTGCATTTGACTAACGTTTTTCTTCATCAGCATGCATGGATTCCGATACGCTGCAAATCATAGCTGCAGAATGAGCTTGCGCCACTTGTAGGTTTCTTGGGAAATGCAAGCAAAGGCAAACGCCAAATGAGCGCATTTCGCACTTGTTTGCCAATCTCGTCTATCCCCGAGATTGTCAAACTAATGCGGGTTTATCACAAACAATGATGCTACATGAATTTGGGACAAGATAGGTAGGTTGCCAGCATTGTGCTACCTTCGACGGACAACGGCGTCCTTCTGCCTCGCTTCCATTTCCAAAGGTGCCAGTTGGAAATTCCATGTCATGACCTGATCTTTCGCTCTCTCTCTTTATATCACCACGTCACGCAAGCTACTCATAGCAATTTTTGCAAGGAAAAATTCGGATGATTTTGATGCTCAATATAGTACCGACTACCGGCTCAAATCATACACCATTCTTTTGTCAGCTGGGAGAGGCCATTGGTCACTTGGAGAATACCCCTCCGCTTGGCGTCACCGTATCTGTGAAGCAACACCAGATACCAGCTGCAGAATGTACTCCGAGTCAACTGAAATCGTGTTGTACAAGCTTGCTACCATGTTATTGGACATTGATATATGAGTTTTTCAGCCCCAACGCACGCTATAGCCGCTATTCTCGAAGAAAAGAAAACACTAGATCTTTCACTGAGTCAAGTGGCTGGCATGTTTGCTCGGGAAATTGCCACACTGAGCCCTAATTCAACGAGCAATCACGAAAACAGGGGCAGACACCCACAGGCGTCGTTTGTGCCTTGAGATCTGCAATTGCTCCATGTAAGTTCTGATCTTCCACGAGGCCATGAGCCGACAAGGGGGGCCAGAAAGCCACCGGGAAGCCATCATCCGCTACGGCACTTGGACGGTTACACAATCCACAAATTGTTGGAAGCGAGCTACTGTTGAATAGTCTACAGCTCGACCAGGTTGTGATGCCCCAGACAGGTCGTCTCCACCAGAACCTTTGCGAGGCCTGTATCCTATCAGTGCTCTCTTCGTGTTTGGCCGCCTCCGAGGTTGATGGAGGGTACTGGGCATTGACGACGCAATAGTCTTTTCGATCCCTCAAGGGACCTGGCTAGAGCTCTTCGAAGGCCATACGAGGAAATCCTCATCGGGAGCGGTACGCTGCAGAGCCGTGTGAGACCCTCCTGCATATGGTCTTGCCTGCTCCTCGTTCCTTTTTGGAGGCTGAGGCCGTTTACGTCCCTTGCCAAAGAGGTCACGGACCTTCCTCACACCTGTGTTTCTCTCTCGTACCGAGTCGTCGACATGCACATGGTTATATAGTAGACGCCCGAGACCCTCGAGGTCATGAGCCATGTTGATACTCGCAATTCATCCCGCTCAGCACCTTTACCCCTCAATGAATACTCTGACACCGTGAACTTGTATCCTTTTCCTTGTTGCTCATGTAGCATCTACACTCGCTTATTACATGATTTAGTATCGTCCTTTTGCTGTACTTTTCTCAACAACTCTCATATCATATTAACGACTGAACGGCTTTTTGTTTCCTATCCAACTATTAATACTAGACTTTCATATAGAGATTGGAAAGTTTCAACAATTAATCGCCATGGAAGAAACCAACTACATTCACGAATCTATTCTCTTTGCTTCAACTAATGACCAGCATGTTCCTGATTGTTCAGCAGACTGCCAGTCACAGCTTTTGAGCTCATTGGCGTCTAACCGGGAGGAAGGCGTGATGTGTCAGACCTTTTCTCATTTGTTGGAAGATGGAAGAGGAAGGCTTCCCATGTTCTACCACTGTGGCTCTCATCTATGTAAGATGAAGAGCATAAGAGATGCTGACCAAGATTGTGCGTCAGCCTTCTAGAGATTGCGGATTTACATAACTAAATATTTCTTCTAGTGAGTATCCGTCGGTTCCTGAGCTCTTGTCAAAGGTAGTGTACATCTTCTATTCAACATGTTAAAGACACGCTCATTAAGGATGTTGGACGCAGAAAACATTACGGTTCTGCAATCGATCTAGGAGCGTCAGGCCAGACACATGTCCGCTCAGGCAGCGTCGCCGAAGGAAAGGAACATGCTCGTCGGCAACAGCAACAGTCTACAACATCATCAGACTGGGGAGTCTCAACTGCCACTCCGTCAGGATTCCTTGTAGAGGGATTCCATACCGTCACGACCAAAATAAGCCCGCCTCCGGCCTCCGAGATAGCCCCTGGCGTGGCTGCCTCGGCGTCCCCTGTGATTCATCTAATCACGACGACGGAAACCTCGAAGCCTCTTCGCCACAGAACTGGAGGCAAAAGTTCAGTACCTGTCAGCACAAAGGTCACCATCGGTGTGTCTGTCATGGTCGGGATCCTGGCCGTCCTCGCTTTAATCGCATGGCATCTGAGGATGAAGGCGCGGTTGCGCAACAAGAAGCGCATCAGTCGCCCCATCAAACCCAGCAGTCTTCCTCCTACGCCGCTCATATCACCGTCGAGCTCGTACGCTGGACCGCCAAGTGGCCCGTTGACGCCGCCTCCACGACTACAAGAGCGGCGCTTCTTGCTGACCAGAGCGTTGAGCCTTCGCCGAAACAACCAACGCCGTCAATACAATGAAGAAGACTCGCAGGAATGGGCTGGTGTGCCACTATCACCCATGCCGCCACTGTCGCCCCTATCACCTCTCTCCATCCCCAGAACTAGATGGAACTCAGAAGAATCTGAGCACGGTGGCATCACGGCAACAACTACAATCTCGCAAATAACACATGTCAACAGGCCCCCTAGGGACGAGCTTGCGCCAGCCGCTAGCGTTTCGAGCATCTTCAGCAGCGCAAGCACCCTGCGGGCCACGTCCAATACATCCGCTGACTCGACGCAGATCAGTTACAGCGGTGCCACTGCCACCGATCTTCCCAGACCACCGCCACGAGTATATGAAACACCGCCGATGATTCGTGGTCTGGCTAGCCCTGGGCCTCCACCTACACGTGCACTTCCAAGTCTTCCTGCTGACGGCCGGGTGAGCCCCTTCAAATCGCCCCTGACGTCGCCCGCGAGTCCGAGCCGGCGAGGATCACCGAGTTTCGCGGCTGCAGCTAGGCCATCTGTGGGTACGAACGAAGGAAACAATGGATCTCAGAGGTCAGGGGAGGGGAGTAGCCAAGGTGGCGCTGGGAGGCCCGTGGATGTGCCAGTACAGTCTCCGAGGAGGGCGAGACATGTGAGGAGCCCACTTGGCTTGAATAGCATGATGAAGAAGGAGTGAGGGCGTCTGAATGGTGGAACGATGGCTGCATTCTGCGGTATAATTCATGATGTGTGCTATATGGGGTAAAAGGAGGAACAAGAGGTAAGGGGGTTTATATGGCAGGCTCCAACATTGATAGATATGTCTTTTCGACCTTTAAGTTTTTAATCTAAGAATTTATTTTTATTAATTCTTCGTCAATTCTTTCGTACGCGTACACTATCTAGTTGAACAATCTAGATGCCGTAGGCCTTGAGTGAGCGGACAGTGTCAGAGACACTCTTCTCAATGGGAATCCACTCAATTCCCAGCAACTTGTACGTCGCATCGTTGTTATACTTGAACGACTTTGTCTCATCAAAGGGCTCTCCACCAGGCACCTCCGGTCCGGGCAATCTATCAGCGTACTCAGGGAAGCCCTCGCGGACGATCCTAGCAACCTCCTGATTGCACGTCCTGCCTGCGACGGTGAAGAGACGACGGCCTCCAGCCTCGGGGATCTCGAACGCCTTGATGTGGGCGGCTGCGGCGTCACGCACATCGATCCATAGGCCGACGGGGCCGGTGTCGCCGATTCTTTCTTTCCATTGACCGCGTAGAAGAGCGACGATACGCTCGTTGGATGTGTTGATTGAGTCGAGCGAGGCCAAGCTGTGAGCCACGGGTCCGAAGACAACGGGCGGGTTCACCGTGACGAGGTCGAAAGAGGGTTTCTCTCGAGCAACAAAGTCCCAGGCGAGACGCTCAGCGGCCGTCTTGGAGACGCGGTAAGCGGTAGGTGGCGAACGGTGAACGTCCTCGACGCCATCCGGATTCCACGACTCCTCAGTAAAGGTCGTATTAGGATCAAACAATCTCTCCTCCGAAAGAACCGCAGCAAAAGACGACGTAATAACAACCCGCTTAACAGACTTTGCCGAGCGATGAATAGCCTCAAGAATACCGCGAGTACCGTTGAGAGCAGGGTCGATGAGCTCCTTCTGGGCGTCCGTCCACTTGTAGTGAAAGGGGCTGGCGGTGTGAAGCACGACCTCGAGCCCGTCGGCGTGGGCGGCAATGACCTCGTCAAAGGCGCTGGGCTGGGCGATGTCGCCGACGGTGACGACGGTGAGACGGTTCTGCTGGACGCTGTCTGGGTGGGCGGCGCGGATCTTTTCTGCTTTTTCGTCGGTGCGGACGGTGGTGATGACGGTGTGGTTTTTGGCGAGGAGTTGTTCGAGGATGTGGGCTTTTTGTGTTGGAATCATATGTTAGCTTTCTTCTTCCTCGGTGTTACTCATGAGATTAGAGTAAGAGTCGTGAATGAGAGGTGGCATCTTGAAAAGAGTATTTGGTGGTGCTATAATCATCTCATGCCTTGTTATGAGACGATCAAAGTTGAATGACGAGAATAAGACGAAACATACCGGCAATAAAGCCTGAGCCACCTATTTCATTCCTCTTATTAGCAAAGCCATTTCATCACACTCATACATAAAGTCTTGAGTAGTAACTCACCTGTGAGAAGAACCTTGGTCATTGTGACTTAATTCAAGTTATTTCCCTCTTTCTCAACACTTGTAAATCCAGACAATAGCAAACAAATCCTCAAAACTCGACAAACACAAGCTGAGGTTGAGTCAATGTGTCCTAGTTCAAAGAAAAAGTATAAGAAGAAAAGAAGAGAGAAAACAGACGAGACAAGTCCAACAAATAGTCAACCCAGACCAACGGAACAAGGAAAAAGCACCAATAACTTCCTCTCTTCCCATCTTCAACGGACCCCCCAATCTTGACGTCAAATCACGTCTTCTTGATTCCCCCGCCTCCAATTTCTGCTCCCCACTACGTCCAAAGCGGGTCAAAATCCCCCTCCCCACGAAGACTATGGCTCGATGCTAGTGGTAACAGGAGGGAAACAAACACGAAAATCCCTCCACTGGGCAGGATATATCCGATCGGAGATAAAGAAGGCCTGGGCTAAATGATATGCCTAAATGCGAGTAAACTGACGAGTAAATTGTTAGAATAGTTGGGGTTGAATGAACTGAACTAGCCTTGAAAATTGGAGTAGTTTCATATCCACCGATATGCAATGCACCATGCAAGTCGATGGACCTCAAATCTCATATCACAAGTCATGTCAGTGTCATCTTCTTGAGCTTCAAAACAACAGGAAACAGTGATATTCCGAGGTATCAGAAATCCAGCGGTGATTCAATGTACAAGATAGAGATTTTAATACAGTACAGCAGCATTCTTCAAGACCCAATTTCCGTCTCAAATGCAGTTCATTTCGTTCCAGGCCACACCACGCTGCTCAAAGGGCCCCTCCAACACGCTTACCAGTTTGAAAAAGTCTTCCTCCAGATGTGCACCGCGATAGGAAATAAATCGTCCAGGCTGCGAACATGGCTCTTTTGGCCTGCCTTTTCAAAGATCCGGAATGTCAAAAACATCGCTTCGGCTTGCTCGCTAGCCAAACCCCGTTGGCCACTGCGAAGTAAAAAGCTCCATGCAAATAAGAATGAAGGGTCATATTTCCCACTCATCCAGGTCCATATTCGTCACTTCATCGCATACCACGCTTTTGCCTTATCGCGCCAAGTCATACCCGTCATAACCCAACTACCACGGCCATCATCAAACTCATCATCGTCCTCATCATCGTCTTCATGTGGCAGATGACCTAGCGGAAGCCGGGGGAGCTGGTGTTTCAGGAGGATGCGGCTGGGGCACTCCCAGTCCCGGTGGTCGAGGAATCTCATCCGGGATTGGTAGTGTTAGCGGTCCTTTGGGCACGATTGTACGGCCAGGTAGCTTTTCTCCACGGATGACTTTCTCAACCTCCTCTTTATCCAGCGTCTCGTATTGTACCAATGCCTGAGCTAGCAAGTCGAGTTCCTTGCGCTTCTCCGTCAGAACCTTTCTCACGTCTTCGTAGGATTTTCTCAGCGTTTTCTGGACTTCGCCCTCAATCACGGCCTTGGTCTCAGAACTGAGGTTCTCATATCTTCTGCCGTATTCAACAGGTCCCAAAGCGCTGGACATGCCAAAGTGAGTGACCATCATATAGCTCAGGTCAGTAGCTCTCTCCAGATCCTGCAAGCCGGTTTGTTAGCACGCATTCGCATTTCACGATACGTATATATATAACTTACATTGGAAACACCGGACGTCACTTTATCGTCACCGTACCGCATCTCCTCTGCCATCTTGCCTCCAAGAAGCACGCGGATGTTGGACATGTATTCGGCCGCGGTGTACGAGTATTTATCCATAGCAGGGACATGAGCGGTGTGGCCCAGGGAAGGGCCTTTTGGGAGAATTGTAACCTTGTAGAGTCGGTTGGAGCTTTCCTTTTCGAACAATTGGACAAGAGCATGGCCAGCCTCGTGGTATGCTGTCATTTCCTTTTCCTTTTCCGTCACCACCATCGACTTTCTCTCGGCGCCCATGGTGATTCTGTCAAATGCCCAGTCGATATCCTGCTTTGAAATCTCACGGGCCTTCGCTCGGCTAGCGCGCAGGGCTGCGACATTCAGCATGTTCTCGAGGTCAGCACCAGATTGTCCAGGCGCACGTGCGGCAATAGCATCAAGATCCACGTCTGGTGATAGCCTGATCTTCTTAGCATGATGTTTCAGGATGGCGATACGCCCACGAACATCCGGCAGGTCCACGTTGATGTGTCGATCGAATCGTCCAGGTCTGGTAAGAGCCTTGTCCAGCAACTTGGGCAAGTTGGTAGCCGCCATGATGATAATCTTTGTATCTGTATCGAATCCATCAAGTTCCGTGAGCAATTGGTTAAGAGTCTGCTTGGAGTGAGCTTGGTCCCTTGGGTTACGTTTTCCACCAATAGCGTCGAGTTCGTCGATGAAGATGATAGCAGGGGACTTGGCTTTGGCCGCCGCAAATAGCTCTCGGACACGCTTGGCGCCGACACCAACAAAGATTTCATCGAATTCACTGCCAGACATGTAGAAGAAGGGAACACCGGCCTCTCCAGCGACAGCACGGGCGAGCAGCGTCTTTCCAGTACCAGGGGGTCCAACGAGGAGAACACCTTTAGGCAGCTTGGCGCCCAAATCAGAGAAGCTATCCGGGTTACGGAGAAATTCGACCACTTCCTGTAGCTCTTCCTTAGCCTCGTCGCATCCGTGAACGTCGTCAAATCGGGTCGTCTGTTTCTCGGCCTTGACCTCAGAGTCGGTCTTTGCTCCTGGTCCACGCCTGAAGGTGCTCAACGTCTCAATCAGGATCGTCACGGCTGCGAAACAGAGGTAGGTGAAGACAATAAAGGTAGCAAAAAACTTGACCCAACGAAAGACAAGCGACCGGGTTGACTCTTGGACAACAACGTGGATTGGTTCACCCTTGACGCCCATCGATCCGCTAAGAGCTGCGTTCGCAATGGCCTGTTCGTTTCCAGCCCATTGTCCTCGTGCAAATCCAGGTGTCGCTGTAGCTGTCGCGATGGTGCTCGTACCACTATTAAGAGCAGCCAGAGCCCGCTTGTAAGCGTCCTCGGTGCCTGCATTTGTTGCGAAACGGCCAGTTTGATATCTTTCCACTAGGATGCCAGGCATGTTTGCTCTCAAAAGAAGCTGGTAAAAGGCGTTTTGTAGGTTCGCATTTCCGGGGTTCCTGTTTGCTGATTCTTCGACGGAGGCTAATTGACTGCGAGAAATTCCATTGGACGTTCCAAAGCCTCTGCGTTGTGTACCGAGTGTTCCGGAGAGAATCCGGGTCGTGGACATTGCGCGAAGCGGGGTCGAGACGGCGGGAGTAGATCGCATAAACAGGTTGACGAGGGGAGACGAGACGGTGGTAACAGGTTGGAAGTAAGGCCTCCGGAGGATTGGGTTCGCTGCGAGCAACCCAACCCGGCCGAGTCCAGAGATGGAAGTGCGGACGTTGGTCGGTATCATCGCGCTAGATGTAATGGCCTTTGGTACGTGCGACGGTGCTTGCTGAAGAAAATCGGGTAGCAGGGTTCGCGCCGACTGGGAAAACAACATCAAGGTTAGCAATGCAAGTCATTGTAAATAGTCTAGAAGAAGTATTCCCACCTTCTCTGTCGCTTCAACCACGGAACCGGTTCGCGCAGTCTCGGCTTCAGCAACAGCATCGGTTTGCTGGCGCGGCACCGACGAAGGTCGCCAGGGCCTCATGAGAGTGTTGGTGATGGAAGGTAAGGTGTCCGCTGCGGCTGCTACCATTGACTGTTCAAGTTTCCATCAGCATATGGCCTCGGTTTTCGGAATTCATGCGTCGAAGGGACCTGGATAGGTACTTACAGGCAGCAAGCCACCGTGGAACGCCATCGCCGGGAGTGACGCCGCCTATCTCAAGGCGAAGGTCGAATGTTGAATGTCAAGCCCCGCGATGACAAGAGAGAGGAAATTAGAGACAGGAGAATGCAAGGATAGTCAATGCCGCCCTATCGTATGACGTGGAGCAGCAGCCTGCCGGGCCAAGGCCTGGCGCTATCGAGAAGCCGGCCAGGTCCAGCAATGAATAAGAACAAGTCTGGATCCCTCCCCCTACCAATCGTCAAGTAGAAGGATGATAGTTGATCGCGGGCGAGGATATTTCCGAGTGCAAAAACCTCTACCTCGATGCCCTCATGATGCCGGCTGGATTTATAAAGAGTATGAGGATGGGAAGAGAATCGCCACGATCGGGATTCTATCGGCCATGGTCGGCAGGCCAGCTTCTACCGAACCTTCACGAAGTGACGTGTCACCTGACCTGACAGACGCAAGAGAAGCTAGCGGGAAAAGGCCGGGGCCCACGATCCATTTTAGGAAATCAACAGCGACAGTCTCCAATGCATTGACTTTAGGTAATTTGGTAGCTTCAGTCAACTTCAAAAAGAAAAAAAAAAAAAAAGGTAGATTGCTTCATATACTTGGCTTTATGCTGTTGAAATATAGCCTTGCTTTACATATATATACACAAAGTCACCAATATACAAAATTCGTACACGCAATTAATCCGCCTCCTAATAGCACCGTGCTATTATTCCATAAAATACCTCCCTCCATGCCTCCCAGAAGAAGAAAAAAACCGCCCCTGATAAACTCCCAGTGTTTCTAACCCTCATATAATTCATTCCGATTTATTAGTAGACGCAGTGGGAGCGAGTGAATTGCTGGACCCAGTTCACCCCCAAAGCCCGCCGAAGCAGTTTTTGCTTCTTGTACACCAAACGGACTTGTTGCTGCTTATATATTGTACACACCATACGTCTCGTATCCATACCATGGCTCAGACTTCACCGATGTAGGAGAACCATATCGTCCAACAATATGGCTTGGAATTTGCCCCGGGTGGATCAGCATTTGCTGCCGCGCTTGAGCCATTTGTTGAGAGTAAGTCATTATTGGCGCAGACTGTCCCAGAGAAGTTGCGTTTTTCAGAGAGTATGTTGAATTTTGTAGTCCCAGATACTTGTGATAGCCCTTTTGTGACAAGGCGCTATGACTGGAAGTTGACTGGATGCTGGCAGGACTGTTGTGTGAATTAGTATTGAGACCAAGAGACGAGTACGACAGATCCATTGTGGATTGCCCAATCGACCCAGTATACTGGTCGTCCAAGTTCATCGTCCCAATATGGGAACTGGCTTGTCCAATGCCATACAGAGGCATGCTGCTGAATCGATGCAGCGTATTGATGTCTTGCAGCTCGTCCGTAGCGGCGTGAGGGGAGTGAAATGGCTCATCGATGCAACAGATGTGTACCTGGCCATCGAGATCGGAAGCAGGTGGAGTATGTTGGAATAAGCTTCCTTGTAAAGTCGAGAGTTGGTGGGCGGTGATGCCATGAAGAGGCTGCGGGGTGGATGGCTGAGCTGGCATAGATGACGAGCGGCTGGATTCCGAGTCAGAGATGCAATCGATTTGTCCGCCGAAGATATCACGCTGTTGAGAGTGCTCCCTCTGCCTGACAGCGAGCTTATTACGACAAAAGCTAATTTGGTCAGTTAGGCCACTTCAATTCCATAGGACATCAAGGTGCATACCTCTTCGGGCAGTCGATGTGTGCGCATCTGCGACTACGACTCCCAGTGTGTACGTGACGGTGTCTAGCAAGGCTAGACGACTATTCACATTATTAATTTGCTGTCCCGTTGGGGGGTTTTGTAGATAACGTACATCTGAGAACCTCTTTATGCAACCGGGGTATTTGCACTTATGCGGCTTCTCGCCGGTGTGCGTTCGAGTGTGCACAGCGAGGGCACTGCGTTGAATGAAGCGTTTTTCGCAGCCAGGGGCCGTACACGGATGTGGCCGCTCATTCGTGTGAATTTTGTAGTGTCTCGTTAGGTCTGATCTGCGTTTGAAGTCCTTTTAATGTGTCAACAAGTGTCAAAGAATGGCTGCGTTTTGGTAACCAATTGCTATCCGTACCTTGTTACAGGACTCCCAATCACAGGCAAACGGCCTCAGATCAGGTCCGTCTGTAAATCCCTTGAACATCATTTGCGACATAATGCCGTTTTAAAAAGAATGTTATATGATCAAGAGGCTTGATATGCTCAACAGTTGGTAAGATCACAGACGCTTATAAGCGATGATGTCTGTGAAAAGGAATGAATACGATGTGTTTTGAATCAATTGATGGAAATGGCGGTAGTTGGTAGGAGTTGGAACTTGGTTTGGATGAGCGCGCGCCGGGGGTTGATAAATATCACCGTGGGTACTCTTATTCTCAGAAGAGTCGCACAGCTTAATTATCCAACAGGGTGTTGATCAAATATAGTGCAGCTAAGATGCACAATACCGGTGGCTTCTTTTACACCGGTCCAATTGCGGATCCTGAGATGTAGCAGGGAGATATGAGTGGCTTGAGAGTGAGATTTGTGGTCCAGTAAGTGGCCAAGGCGAGTTGTAAGAAGCGGGAAGATCTTAGCCCATTGGTCCCGCGGAATCAGAGGAGGCTCCCGAATGACGCTATGGATGTCTTGATGGAAAATATAGTTCCAAAGACGCTGTGTAACATGTGCTAGGAAGGGAGTGGATGAGGGCAGCCTGGGAAAGAATCCGGTAGGACAAGCGATCAAAATTTCTGAGCGTCGAGTAATGAGAAGCTGAAAGCAAGGAGTGGCGATAGAATGGCCCCAGCTTTAAGAGCAGAGCCAAGAAATAGAATGAATGTATGAGGTGATTGTTGTGTAATCGTCGTGTCTTTTCCTGAGTTGCATCAATGGCAGGTAAAGCTATCGGTGCTCGGCAAAGCCACGATGCAGACCAGAGGAGAAAAGTGATGCCATACGTATATATATCTTTTGACAGGAACCAGAGACCTGTGAGTTGAGTCGGATCCAGCTAGCTGCCTACGTGATACGACGACCGGAGCAGGGATTCGGGCATGCATTGCATTGGATGGTACTGCGGGAACAGCGGTGGTGGCCACTCCTCTGGGGAGCCAAGTTAGGCAAAGCTTGTATGCTCGGGTGTAATCTCATGTACATTGGAAGTGGTGATGGAGCAATGTACCAGTGTAGTGTTGAACAGGGGTTGAGCACGAGACGACGAGCAAACAAACCCCCATGTCTGTTTTGGAACCGTCTCAATTAGCCATGTGGAAAGAAACCGACCAGAACTATTTTAGGGCGGATAAAGCAGCTGTGACTGGCTGTGCTCAAACACATGGGCCATGGAACCTCTCTCGATCGAGTCTAGAGACGCACCTGGTGAGAGCGAGGCCTGAGGGTCTTGCAGCCGTTTCATCATGAGGCACGGGGAATACTCAGGACCAGAGGGAGGGCGGCCAAGCTCAGAACGGAGCTCACCTGACTGTTGCCGAGTGGTCCATAATCCGTCGAAGACAAATGGAGAAATTTTGCCACGCAAAGGTAGGGCAGACAATGGGGGCTCTTCTTAGGAAAATACCACATTGGAGGACATGGGGGCAGTTCTTGCGCGCGGTTGACTCTGCTAAGCGGGCCGGTCTGGGCGGGCCGAGAAGGATGAGGAAGCGTCTTCAGACGCAAAATCCCTTTGCTGAGCAATAGCAAATCCCATGGATTCCTTCCAATGCAACTTTCATTTTGTTTTCATTCTTGAGGTTGTCTCGGCAGTAGCATCAGTTGCTTGGTGCAGATACATTGCATCCGGGCTTGCGGGTGTATGCCCGCACTTCCAGAGTGGGCTCAGCTGTGAGGATCGCCAGAGCATGGACCAGGAGAAGGGACGAAAGTCTGGAGGGTGAGAAGCAGCGAAAAGTAACAATGGATGTGGGGACGAGTGTGAAGCAAGAAATGCATCAATGGCAGGCTGTGCTGACACGGTATGACATGCAGGTACGGGCTCCAGTGTCGACGCTGCTGCTATCGCGAGAGACAGAGCTGTTGGCGTTTCGTAGTATCTGAGAGAAAGAGAGAAAGAAGGAATAGTTAATTTGCTCGAGCTGTACTTGGACCATGTCTTGCATCGGCCTTGCAAGAGATGCCATCGATTCATCAGCCTTCCATCAAAACCGCGGGCTGTGTGTGACTCGTGAGATGTGATTTTGCGGGGAGCAGCTCTTGGGTGAGGAGGATTATTGCCTGGTGTACTGATCGCCGCCTCTAATTGGTGCGAGAGAGGCACAAGTAAACAGTTGACAGGGGATCGTGGGGGTGGGGTGAAACACACGATAGCTGCACATTGCGCCGTAACAGCATAGATCTACGTACCTATCTATGCATCTACGCCCTACAACATGCCCGTAAGTGTGCGCAGGAATTTACGCTTGATCTGCCGCTAAAATTTAGGCCAGGACCAGATGCCATGCCAACCCACTCGGGACAGACCCGAGGTTCTGTGGTTGGACGTGGATCTTTGTGTTCCAGATGATGCGATGCAGCTCATGGTGAAGCCTCAAGACACGGCCTGTGCAGTGCAGCCAGCCACAAAGCAAGTACCTGCAGACGGGATTCATTAGCACGCACCCTCAAGGTGTGTAATTGTATTCAATGGTAGGCACTTTTGTTTCCTGTTGCCTGGGACAAGAGTATAGGTGCCTTCTAGAAGACTGCACACCCTACCTCCTATTGTGATGGAGGCCAAGGACAATGGTCAAACATCACATGCAGGTATACGTGTGGAATTATCAATTTTCAATAATTAACTACGGTCCTTCAGTACGGTAACTCCATCTATCGTCCAATTTTACTTGTGGTCAAAGTTTCAGGTTTCGCTCATAGTAAAAAGGAGAGTGAGTGCGTGTAAGATTCATGCATGAAGTGGAATCGCTTCAACACCACCATGATAATATTCCGCGGAATTATTAGCCACCACAACAAAGTATTAGATTATGAGGTACTCAATTACAGCAATATCCAATTACAGCAATCCATCCTTGCCACTGTGTTTACCATCAGGTCGCCATGTCTTGCTTGTTTACACCTGGGACTGCATGATCCGGTCTTAATGTTGCGCCTGGAGAGTTCCCGTCTCAGTTAGCTCCTGGACTTTCCGACCTGATTCTTGATATCAAACTTGAAACGCAGAGCCCAAAAGGCCTGCAGCTGCGGGAATGCCGGTTTGATAAACCCCAATCCAGCTGCTACCTCAGGCACACGTGGGAGAGGGTGTTATAATGGACATGGTAACCTGGTAAGTGCAAGGTCAGGAAGGGCGAAGAAAGCTTCTCCACCGCGGCTATTGCGCAAAATGGGGGATCGCCATCAAGCATCTTGCGCTGGGCCTTACTCCTTCGGACTTTAGATATCCCTACAAGGAGGCGGCCGGCAGATGCAAATCCAGGACTTGACAATACATCCCATTGCTCAATAGGCTATATCGGAACTTCTCTTTTCACCTGTCCGGGGCAGGGTTGAGGAGGCGTGAGCTTGGCTTGCGGGCTGTAATCTAATCTTGGCTACCTTACCTGAACCTGCTCATACTGGCCTTCTGGATGTAGCCACACCATCTTGTTCCCTCGGGGGCGCTTTTGATACGCTCGAGCTGGGAAACGGCAAGACTTGCGCCTACAACCCAGGCCGAGACCGTGGTAATCTCACAATCCCACTCACAAACGGACTATAGTACGAGGTTTCAACGCTACCTAGGAGGTACATTAGGATATGTCCACGTGCAAAGGCGCGGGCTGGATGGATGTCTTATCGCACATGATTTGTAGCTTAGTAGGAGACTTATCGTCACCTGAGTCCTCAGTTCGCGCGTACCTACCTATAGTAGTACTAGATCCATCGCGAACCTTGCCTTGACCGGGTCGGTATTTGCATTTTACATCCTCGTCTACACGGGTCCAGGACAACGGCATCACATCACAGCAGCAGCTTAATCCCATACCCAGCTTCCGTTCTACCGACTAGCAAGCCATCACTCGCGTGGCGGGCAAGGAAAGATGCTGGACCGACAAGGACATGGACAGGGCGACTCTCGCGTGGTATTCCTCCGTGCTGGTATGTACAGGTCTGGTGGACAGGATAACGACTCCTCTCCTCGCCATGATGCCTGTAGATGCCTTCGTGCACGGGGCAACTGGCACCTTGCCATGCTCGCGGCAAACCGTGCGCGTGCGCTTAGATTTCCGATGAGCAAGGTTGGCTCTGTCTCGCCCGCGGCCACTGCTCTGCTCAGCACCGCTGCTTCTGCAAGGTCAGCGACCCGAACAAGGACCCAGGAAAGGACGGAACAGTCCGCATGCGGTCTTGGATTACAGTACTGCGGAATTCTCGAAGCCGCTCTGTCGAGTCGACACACAGATGCGCGTCTCACCCCTCCAACGCCCAATTCCCAGTGCACGCAATCACTGTTACGCCGATACAACCCTCATGAGGCAATAACCCCATCGCTTCAGGTCTGAGAGGCTGGGGGAGTTCTCGACCAGGGTAAAGGTGGGGAGAGGTCTGAGATCCATGTCTATAATTGCTCAAATATTGCATTAGCTCTTTGCAGGGTTTCAATCTCGAGCCAAGAATGCCATTCGACCAAAGCCACCCGGGACCAATTCCCGGGGCAGCAACCCATCCTTGGCCCTGCCCAGCAGGGCTGGTAGGGTACACTCCAAAGTCCTCCGAACGGCTTGCAAGACAGGCGGGAATAAACGACCAGCCAGTATTCAGCAATGTCTTTCTTTACAGATAGGGTTAAACGAACACACTGGCAGACGCAGTGCTGACCTGCTGGTCGCATACAAGTTCCATTATTACTTGACCCAGATTCGCATCACTCCTGCGGGCACGGGGAAATCTAGCCCCCCGAGACGAGTCTATCGATCTGCTAAAGCATCAGTGCACTCTTGGTCGAAGAGGATTGCGAGCTTCGTGCCCGTGGTCGCATAAGACACTAGTCTCGACGTCATCTGTTGTCCTGGTAGTAACTAAAAGCATGAGCGTTTCAGACGGCTCCTACAATGCGACGCACAATCACTCGCCAAACGGTAGACCTATCCGGGCATTAGGATTCCCGCTTTGGTTTACGGAATGCTCCAAGAATGACCAATTCTGCTTCGAAATGATGCTACAAGCATAACCAGCGGCCCGAACGCTGATAATGGGTATAACTGCCGCTCCGCGGGATATTGACGGTATAACCACCGGACCGAAGAAGGCCGTTGCCCACGTGGAGGATCTGAACACCAGCTAGATCGATCCCCAGACTTGCTATCGACCGTCTCAGAGACACTAAGACCAACACTAGAATCCGTTGCAGCTGCCGTGTGAAGTGGTGGTCAGCAGCAGCGGCTTGTGCCCACTACATGTATCCTCCTCTGCTGCAAATGCCTGTACAAGAATAACAGGCCCAAATGACGGCCGGCATGCGAAGGATGTCAACTTAGCGTGCTGCTACCGCCTCACATGCCTTTTTAAGATACGCAAGGATACTCAGATTGGTCATTGACGGAGCCGATGCCTCGCGAAAAAGAAGCTTCCCCTCGTCTTCCCTGCGGATCTTTGCAATACCGCTGCGTCTTTATCTCCATGCCTAGCCATCCCGGACGCCGAATCCAGTCCCGCTTGGACCAAATATGTCGCACTTCAGGATTCCCAGGGCAACCATTACGATTAGATGTCGGAGACTAAAAGAGAAGCATTGCTATTCTTGACGTTTAGACTGCTGACAGCTTTGTCTCCGAAGGACGCCACCGTGGATCCCATTCGGTCGTTTCTCTGGCAAAGGCTACTCATCCGTTCTCGCCGATTTGTCCGTGGAGAAGCAGCCCAGTCAACCATCCCCTTGCTCTAGGCTATCTAGATAACGCAATAGCCTTGTTGCCAGAGGTGTACGGGATACCAAAAGATAATACTCATGCCGAAACAATTCCGAAGTCGTGGATGGGCCTCGCTTCAGAACAAGCAGCACTTGCTAACCGAAGATTCTCTTGGTGTAATAGAGGAACCAATCACTCTCCTCTCCCATAAGCTTTGGGGATTCAAAACCAATAATGCAACCTTGACGAGCATGGATCGTGCCTTGATTTCTGCTCCAGGTCAAGAGAACGTATCGTTTGGGGTAGTAGCTACAACATCGGCAATGTTCCTGTATCCAGCTGTTGGAGTGAGAGTGATCAAACGCATTCTAGAAGACCAAGTTGTGAAAGAGATATGAAACACGCATATCTTGTTCGTATTGGGGAGCACTAGTCGGGTATGTATGCATCTAGCATGCACTTCCCCAGAACTGTCACAGAGCGCGACAGGGTAGCTATTCTTCGTAAAGAACCCGCATGAAAGCACATGATGATTTTGGGATACGGGATGCCGTTTCTGTACTGATGCAGCAGATCTCCCACTTTCCGTCTCTCCCCGCGCATCCATATCACTAATACGAATGGTATGGAGCCTGCAGAGCTGTCGAACAGGGGAGCGTGGCTTGCAATCCAAAAAGAGAAGAGAAACTCGCGCAGCATTCGTTCTAGATATCAGATTCCTGAGACATTTACGGCATGGCCGAGGGCTGTCAAACAGACCAGGAGAGGCAAGCTCTACTCCATTAAACAATTAAGCATATCGTACCATTCTAGCCCGGATGCTTGCTTTCCGTATCGAAGATATCCAGGAACCACAAGGCTCTATATTCAAATGTCGTGGCACAAAAACATTACAACAGAGTCAAGAGCAAGGGGCAAGGCTACGCTGGAAAGTTCTTGCGCTAGCCTACTACTACATGATGAAACAGAATCTCATGCAGACGGCAAATCTGGCATTTCAGATGTGCTCAGCTTGCAAGCCTTAGCCAAGTCGGCATCCTTCAGGACCCCATCGGAGCTTGAGGCTCATTAGATTGATTCTAAAGCGGCAAAATGGCAAAGATATTGCATGTGGATGCATGTGTGAATGATGACGATTGGCACTCTGCAGGCACTTGACGCGGATGTCGTCTTTGTTTCGCAAGACCTTGACTTCTCGCCTTCCAATAGCCTGGACACCAAGCAAGACACCTTACATCGCCCGGAATACGGCTTCTCATTCTTACATTGATCAATGAAATCGGAGCAGATACAGCCGGTTTCATTCGTCTGCAAGGAGACGGACTACAGCTGTGGGGACAGCTATCCAGAAAAGTTGCACGGATAGAAACCACGCCCACCAGGGGAGATACCCTGCAGTAAGCTTCTCATGATCGTATATCGTATCCGTTCACCAGCTCGGGTAGAATGGCAGGCTCTTCCAACCCATTCTCCCTGGATGAATCAATCACTTTACCCGCAGGCCCAAGCTGGGATACCCTGGATGCCGAAGAGCACTTGGCACTAACCAACTGTCGGCACATATATCCATGTGTGAGGAAATGCAACAGTTGTTAACCAGGTCTACAAACATCAGATGGCTGCCTAGATGTCCGTTTCCCCTCGCAGCATCGCATCGGCCGTGGTACACCTCAGCTTGTCTAGAGAAGGCCGATGTTACGACTTCATTCGTCTACCTATGTCGGCTGCAGGAACATGCACTGCTCCAGGAACCCGGTAGGCGTTGTCTCGTCAAAGTTGAGAGACATTGTCTTGAGTTGCCTTGCCTTAGACATGCAAGGCAAGTCTAGATCCTCTGCACTCTCGCAGTAGTCTCCACTCGGTGAGGCTAGTAACAAGGGCCAATGCGTCTACACCGGTTGAAGCTTCGATGAGAGTGACTTTTACTGGATGTCAGTGAGCCTGCCTGTCAAGGGTGAGAAACCGGAGTTCCAAAATGACCAAGCCGTGGCGTTTTAACCGTGCGCATTGTGTTACCAGGGGGGTGGCTCAGCCCCTACGCTTTGACTAGACTTGTTGACTTGATTTGTATTTCAAAACAAGCGCGCATACTCCGTACTAGAGGCAGAGAAAGCTGCAAGGAGATCTTGATCTGCTCCACACTCTGTACTGCAGCCATGGACGATGATGGAAGACCAGGAATTCGGAGAGGATTCTCGCAACTCCGGTCTACCATACGCATTGTACAAGGTACCGCCCTCCTCTAACATCATCTAATATAGTTCTTCTTTCTGCTATTTCTATACAACGACGAATCTAAGTACTATCCAGGTTAAAAAGGTCAGCGCGCCTCATCTGACTGCATGCGGACAGCCAACCTTCAGTACTGGCTAGTAATAAAGCTCGTTTTCCAACTCGGCCGGGGAGATTATAATTTACTGTCTATACTTGACAATTACAAATAAAGCGTCGGCGGGTTGATTGCACCTCTTGAGCTTGAGCGTTAGAAAGCTGACTAGATACGTTTACACGTATACTCGCGTATCAGATATACTGGTATATGCAGCGCCTTGACAGTGAGACACCTGGCCAAGGTACGCATGGATCTTACCTACACTACCATGCAGGCATTTACATGCCTCCATGTTTCAATCACCATCACATTTGTTTCTCAGCTATTATTCAGCCTCCTCAGCTCTGATGAACTCTTGGGACATGTGGCACGTGGATCGCCACTTCTTGTCATTGGCCCCCATCCGACAAGAGCTAGCAGAAATCGGAGTGCAGATACCGAAACGAGAAGAGAGAAAGGACGGCCAGCATCGTGGTGAATGGGTTTAGGCGAGGCAGGGTTGTTGAAAGGTGAAAATAAACCCACTGAGATCGGAGAATTCCCGCCAGCCCGCTCTGCCTAAGCTTAGATTATGGATCGGTGCGGCGTTGAAAGCTTCTTGTTGAGCCTACTTTTACATGCAGTGGCGAATGCTAATCTCCACGGGAAGCTGTGAACGAGTGAGTTATCTCTGGTGTCATACGCGGACGCAGAGGCCGTGATACTGACAATCTAGCCACAATTAGACGAATATCCCAAGTTGGGCATTGCTGGAAAATCAGTTTTTGGTCTAGGTCCACATGTTTGTTTGCTTGACGTTGCATTCGGTCTGTCAACAGACAGGGGATCGAGGGAGGTTCCACAAGGCATATCGAGAGAGAGAGAGAAAATCGTACCAGTAATACTCCATGCACACACGCACGCACACAAAGGAACAGGCCGTGGATGGACCAAGTTCGTCCGGCATGCTGATTGCCGACCCCCTGGCAGAAACCGGGTAGAGAGGCGCAAGAGTCTGGGTAGGGGTAAGCGAGAGAGAAAGAGAGAGAGAGAGAGATTGGGGGCCACGAGGGACGCTGGCTGCCGGGGGGGGGGGCTGTCTTAGACGGGCATGATTCCACGACATGGTTGTTGGCCCGCGCTATGCAATAAAGAGGAAGATAGTTGTGATGACAAGCTCTCTTTTTTTACCCTGCTGGGCTCGGTTCACACGCCCATTTTTTGGAGCCCTGCTGGTTCCCAGGACAGGGCACTGGGATATTGATAGAAGCGCGGGGTTTGCCAGTTCGCGAGTGAGAAGCCAAGGATTGCGTTTCATGCTAAGTCGAGCTTGGGAGCTCATCAAGGTGTCCCTCTCTTCTGTCTCTCTGTCTGACACCACTGCCCCGACTTTGGCTTTTTTTGGAGTTGCATCCCGATGCTTGGACGGCGATATCAATGCGCTGCATCTGCATTGATATTGCCAGGGATTATTTTGGTGAGGGGAAATAAGAGAAGAGCAAGCAACGAACGTCCGTGAGCTCTTTTTTTTCGCTTTCCCAGTCATCCGGTAACTGCTTGTTGATGGATCCATTCGGGATTACCAGCGGGCACTTTGTTATTACTGTCTGTGATGGCATTATGCAGGATGCCTTGTTTCAACTGCTGGATTGGGAGAAAGGTGTACCTATAATTAGGTGTTGATGTCCGTCTTATATACGTTAAACGGGCATAAGCCAGTAATATAGCTTTTTCGCTGCTAATTAACCCGGATTACAATGTTTGGGGGCTAGATATGATTACTGGAATTAACATGATTTGGATGCTATGGTGAGCAGAGTATGGAAGCAACAAAAATCTGTATCTTTATTCTATCGTCTTTTTCGTTTCAGCCGTTCAAGGCCATCTCTACCATCGCTTAAAACTCTATCATCCCAAAATCTCAAATGATTCCAGCACATGCCACAAAAAAGAAAACAAATCGAAGTGTTCTAAAGCATGCATGCATAGGGTTCGCCGAAGCCGGTTTCAGGTCTCAGCTGCAACAAAACGTCGAAAAGTGCCAAAACAAAACAACAACAGCCCCTAAGTTAACCCTCATCTTTCCCAAACATGTCTAACCAGAGACTGGTGTGCTCGCCGTAAGGCTGAAGTTCTGTAGTTGTTCCGTGATGGGCTGTGCAATAGCCACGACCTCTTCTTCCGTCGAAGTGTCCGTTTTCTGCTGCTCCACAGCAGTTTCAGCGCTGGTGAGTCCCTTTCGGATAGCTAAAACGCTGTCTACAATGACGGCATCGATGCCTTCTTTGACCTGACGCTGCAATGATTGTTAGTCCGAACGACGAGACGAAAAAAAATTTGATAAAATAATGTGGCGTTTGCCAGCGGCCGGAGACTTACCTGAACCATCATCGGGTCGTTATTAAGCGTGCCGTAACTGACACACACCAACCCATTCTCCTTCACAACCCTCACGAGGCGGGGGCTGTTGATCAGGGGCTCCGCTGCGGAAACAATGCCGAGAAGGTTCCAGCGGCTAGCGAAGCGGATGGCCTCCTGCAGCGATGAGGCTCGGACATCTCCGACAGGGGAGACGCCGGCATCTGTCAGGAACAGAATCGGAATGGAGGGTTGCTTGAAGCTGAGACACAAACAAATATCCGGGTTGAAGGAGCTGAAGATGATGTGGCGCTCCCCCGCCAGGTCGTAGACTTTAGACAGCACGGTGTCGCAGAAGGAGTTTAGTTCCACCGCATACGTATCCATCTCGTGTTCCTCGCTTTCGTGGAGCATGGGATACTTCATTTCAATGTTGAAACCAATATGCTCCGGTAGCTTTCGGAACAAGTCTTCCAGTGTCGCAAAAGGCGCCTGAATAAAGTTGCCTCGCGAGTTGGCCTTGTATCCCTTCTCTTTGAAGTCCCTAGTGTGTTTCATGCGCTCTTCCATCTCCTGTTGCAAACCAGAACCGGCGTAGCCCATAGACTGTGACCGCTGTGGGGTAAAGCTGCTGCTGCGCGTACGGCCAACAGTCGATTTTCCGCTCTGGGCTGGGCTATTCTTGCGGTTGCTGTTGCTCCTCCTACCATCTGGGTTGATGTGCAAGAACTGCTCCAGAGTGAGCGTGTGAACAGGTGCATCGATGCCAGTTTCGCTGACAAGAAAGTCGTGGTAGATGACCGGCACATGATCTTTGGTGAGCTGCACATCAAACTCGACATATTGAGCTCCAAGATTGGCCGCAGCAATGAAAGACGGCAATGTATTCTCGCCGAGCTGAAGAGATTTGTTTGAGGTAATGTTTTTTCCGAGACCTCGATGGCCAATGAGCATGGTAGATGAGAGCTTTTTCCAGTACGTCTGTCTAGAAGTAATCTCCATGTTAGGGTGATAGAAGGGTGTAATGACCAAAAAGTTGAAGTTGACTGTTCCAATAACCTCCAAGCTGCTATTCATAATAGGCACGCACAAGTCGCCTTGCAAGTTCATACGGCCAGTGCCAAGGGATGGCTTGACAGAAGACATAAGGGCCACGGCACGGCCGATCTTGTGCTTGTTGTTTCCAGAATAAGTTGGAACAATGTCGAAGAGAAGCTTGACTTTGGATGCGTCTCGAGTTGTGAAGACAATCGGCTCGGTAGCAATATGCTCGTGAACCGGGAGATCAATAATAGTTGACTCTCCATGAGCCCCGTCGGCGGTTACCACGACAGACAGAGCTGTATCGAGCTGTGTGTTGTGTGCCTCTGCGAGAGGAACGCTGTCAAGAGTTACCGCATCGAGCTTCTTTCGAATATCCATAGATCCAAGGCTAACCAAGACCAGGCTTTCATTAGTCAGGTAACGATGACCGAACGTCTTGACAAGCTCAGCTGGTCGCGGTGCTGGCGGAGATCCATTCGAACGACGGCCGTCAATGGAGGATGAGACCTCTGTAGGGTTCAGTGGTGGAGATGCAGTCACGGCTCTGGTAGCAGCCTCAGACTCGTCAGTGTGAGCCGCGAGAAGCCTCGCGATCTGCATATGACCACGCAACGAGGCATGCTCAGTAGCTGTCCAGCCAGATGCATCTGGCTTGGAGACATCTGCCCCAGCATCGATGAGTAATTGGACAACAGAGAGAGAGCCGTCAACAGCAGCGACGTGCAAAGGAGTCCAGGCATAAGACTTCTCTGTGATTTCCACATCGACCTTTTGCAACTTGCTCTCTAGGATGACGCGAGCACACTCGTCATGCCCAAACCTGGCGGCAACGTGGAGAGCCGTCTCGCCCGTCTTGTCGGTCCAATTGACATTAACACCTGCATCGACAAGCATCTTGACAATGACAGTATAGTTGGATTTGGTAGCAAGCGCAAGGACGGCGCCAGACTTGGCAACCGTCTTTCGAATCTCCGTCTTGGCCTCACTGCTGCCCTGCCAAATCTCGCCCTGGAGCAGAGCCTGGGTGGTTAGAGGATGGCCGCCGATGACGCTGAGATGGAGTGGCGCGTAACCATCACTGTCTTGCCACTCAGGGGCATCGATTCCGTCCTTGACGTCAAACTGATTCCATTGCTGCATCCTGGCCATGATAATTTGGCACACAACGACGAATCCAAATTGGGCAGCATAGTGAAGCGGTAGCCGGCCAAATGCGTCAGGGCTCTTCAGAGCAGCTCGCTGGTTTTCAGACATATTGTCAAACAGATATTCAAGGATCTGCACAGCTTCATCGTCCTTTCCGAGGAGAGCGGATTCGTGCTTGTTGATTTCCTTGACTTGGACGGTAGAGGAGACTGCAGGCTGCAGATGCCTGTTGTTGAAATGTGTGCCAACAGGAACGGGGTACGTGTTAGCGTCCTCGTTTGTTGGCGCAGATTTGGTGCGGCCAATGTGAATGACCAGGCGGTGGATGCAATTCCGTCCATTGATGTCTTCTGGCTCGTCGAGATCTTTGATGTTTTGCAAAAGATATGCAATACAGGCCCGGGATCTTCCTGAAATTGACCGTTGCAAAAGATTGAGTAACAATGGCTGTGACGAAGTCTCCGACGAGACAACATGGGCATCAGCCAAACCAGACTTCAGCGACTCAACGTCATTGCTGCGGACAGCCTGCTCCAGCGTATCGAACTGGGCCTGTGGCATATGAAGAAATACTCTAGCCGAGGATCTACTGAGGGAACGAGTAGACCGCTCTGACGTGGAATCATCTACGTTCTGCGCGTCCCCCAGCACCGAAAGCCAGCGGTTGATCTCGCTGAGTAGTCTGACGACATTTCCATCCCGCGCAAACGGCTTTGGATCAACCTTTGTTGAGATGTATCTGTGCTGAGAGGCGACTCCGGGCACCTTCTTGTCGGCCTTTTTAGTGATCTTGACGAAACCCTTTCGGTTTATTTCACCAAACCACTGCAGGTTTCTCAACTGGCTTCTCAGTTCCAAGAGCGCGCCCATGACCTCCTCAATCTCGTCCTGGTCCAGAGTCGCGACGACATCGGGCACGCGTCCATAGCGATTCTGCAAAAGGTCGACGCGTCGGCAAGCCTCGGCGTACTTTTTGTTATAAAAGGAATCGACATCTTCAAGGTTACGGTCGAGGGCAAAGGAAAGCTCTGCGTGGAAGGAATGAGTTAGGGAGGAGGCTCGGCCTCAACAAGGGAGAGTAGCGTTCAAGGCAGCCCACCTGCTGGATCTACGGTTTCGCCATTCCGGGCTTTCTCGGCGGCGGCCTTGACGAGTTTCTTGAGGCCCTTGTAGTTGATATAGGCGCCGGCCCATTCAGGGACTTGGTTTCGCGGAAGGCTTTGGAAGGGGACCGTTTCAGTGAATGCCTCCAATTGACCTCGAGCAACTCACTTTCGTCCAAACTTCATGGTTTCTTCCCAGCTCGCCCGGTTTTTCTTATCTTTCCTCTTTCGGTATGCTTCTTAATTTCAGCCTGCTTATGCCGATTGATTGGTCAGAGCTCTGTGTGGGGGTTTCTGTCAGACGGTTTTTTCCCGACTTCTGATGGAGGGGCAGTCTGTATCAAATTGTCGTATGAATGGCGATCCAGATCGTGGCGGTATGGTTTGATCAGGAGGATAGAATGCTCCTACTCACAAAGCAGAAGCGCAATCTCGCCAATATTCAAAGAAAGGACCGGTGAGAACTGGAGAAAGAAAGTTAGAGCGCGGAGAGAGACAGCGAGCCTAGATTCACCCGGGCGGTAGAAGAAGGCAAAAGATGTAGAGCAGAGCAGAGCAGAGCAGACCGCGTGATGATGACCAGCCTCCACGTTCCTCAACAAGCTCTAACAAATGCGGGTAGCCACCAAACAATCCATAGCCCGGCGGCGCTGAGTCTAGATTGCTCACAAACTCACGGGGGGAGTGAATGATGACGGAGCGGAAGTGGGAAGCCGAGGACTTACTTGCACAAGCACAAACGAACGAGGTGGGTGTTATCGCAGACGCATAGGTGTGATAAGCAACTCGATCTCTCTCGACCAGCGACGGATTACTCGCAATGTCCAACAACGACTTGCAGGGAGCAGCCAGTGGCGTCGGTCACACGTCCGTGTTCTGATACTGTCTCTTGGAGGTGAATACTCGTAATTTGCTGGCAAGGCTCATCTGACATGCGGCAGACAGGACAGGACAGGGTCCGCAGAAGCGAAGTTCGGAGGCCACGCCGCCTTTTTCAATGTCGTCCCGGTGGAGATGGATCTTTGGAGAAGGGAAAAAAGAGGAAAGAGGAAGAAGAGATCAATCAGACTGTTTGACTCTCCACCCCATCCATCACCACCCACTTTTGGCAGCGTCACTAGCGGTCATAGCATCAGTTAGTAGGCGACAAGACTGGAGGTTTTTAGTACTCGTATAGCAGCCTCCATCTCGCAACAGGCCAATTCACTCGCTCAGTCGCTGCGATAAAAAACCAACCGACAAACTTACCCAAGCCCAAAAGGACCAGACCCTGAATCGAAGCTGCGCGCCACTCGCCCCGGTGGAGCACCGTGTCTGTCGCCTTCTGGAGCCCCCTGAGAGATTCCTTGCAGTGACATGAAGCCTTTGGAGCACATGGACCACATGCGATGCTTGAGTGGACACGCCCGCGCCTCGTGACCGAGCCGGCTCTTCCATTCCGGTCTTGCCGCCAGGCCAGTTCGCTTTGCCGCTTTGTCTCACTGTGACCCGTCCGCTGAGATCGCTGAGATCCGCTGAGAGTTAGCGGGCTGAGGCGCTGCCAGGCACGACCGCACATCGCTGTGGCGCTGGGTTTCAAAAACCAGACACGGTACCAACAGCACTGTAAGCCTCGATATTTTCTACGCTAGCCACCGCCACTTCTCCAGATCTGAACACGCGCTGGGCCAGCTGGAGAATCACCAAGTTAAAAATGGAAGTTGGACACATTGATCGTTATAAAACTCGTGCCACAGTAGCATTGAATTTGGGTAATTGATGCGGTCATCATCGTCATGCTTGTACTGTACAGTAATTGGTGGCTTCTGAGCCCTAGTTCCCTAGTTCCCCTCCCACCAGAAAGCGCCGGTATGCGACATCCCAGTAAATGTTGGTCCATCACCAACTGTTCCATATACAAATATTTGATATCAAGTAATACAATACGACAAGTAGTTCTCCGTAAATAATGGTAGAATGTTTGTTCAAGTCTGGCTTCTTTTTTTTCCTTCTCTCATCCTTCAGTTCTCATCATCCTCTCATTAGTCAAGGCCATTCTCCGAAGCACGCCGCCTTCACTTGGTAGACAAGTCGGCCAAGCTGGGAGCAATTGTCCAGGCCTCGGTCTTGTGAGCTTGGACTCAACTGTGTTCCCATGGTCGAACAATTCCAACTTCTCAGACCTTGTCGCATGTCGGTGCAAAGACACGCCTGACTCTGCGTGCGCGGGTTCTTCGGAAAGGGGCATAGTATCTAGAGAAGCACGGTTGCGCTCCGTGGCATCTTCACTCTCTAGAAGTGGCTCCGGTGTCGATCCAATCAAAGAGGTGCTCTCCATGAGTTGTGTCAGCTCTTGATCCAACTGCTCGCTTCTTTGCGTGGCCGTCTTGCCAATATGGAGTGCCATTGAGGCTCGAAAGGTCCGTGAGAAGTCGGGGTAGAGGAGCTTGCTCTCGATGGAGATCGTAGTCTTTCTCACAAACTCATACTCTTTCCATATACTCTCCAGTTGCAGCACTCTGCTTTTGCTCCTGTATATCTCTTCTCCGGACGTCGGCCTCTCTTTCGGGGGCCCGGCCTCCTGGGTCAATGTGTTGAGGAGCTTCGTAAATGCGGGACCCGAAACCTTCAAGTTGACTAGAAGCGACTTTGACGGCTTGTCTAGACCACCAAGACCACATATGTCTAGCAATACTCGTATTCGGTCGGCAATGTACGAGGTATTCTCGCTATCCCCTCCCACTCTAAGCAGACTCTGCAAAGTTGGCTGGGATCGTGCGAAGCTGGAAGTCAATCGAACTGCAGCTTTCCAGTCCAGAGCATTGATGCATTCATCAAGGAAGTATTTGACTGAATCCAAGCTCAGCTTGACTCCAGACTGCACGCATGAAATGAAAAACGCCGCAGCCTGGTCAAAGAGCTTGAAGTGCAACAGGCCGCCGATGATTTCTTCTACCAAAGGTTGCGAGAGTGGTAGATGGTCCCAGATATAGTCTCCGGTGAGAGTTCGGCGTCTAGAGTCCAGGGCCCAAGGTAGGAGATTTGGGTTTTCTTCAATGTCCGATACGTGCCTCCGGCGAACTTTTGCGCCAGTTCGATTGTCGAGTCCGGTAATGCATGCGAGGGCTCGTAAGAATCTTCCGTGGTTATTAGTGCATTGGTAGTGATTTAAGATGGCGATGAATGTGGATGGTGTAGGTTGTAAAAGTCGGTATTGGAAGAACGAAGCAACTAGTGCCTCGGCAAATGAATGATGGCCTGATTTGTTAAACGCAACAATGAGCGTGTTGTAGGTGTGTATATCTGGCGGGTGTGATGAAACTAGCAGGTTGTAGCAAATCCTACCAACTTTCTCCTTCATACTAAGATTCGACGCAGCAGCCAAGGATCTCAGGCGCTTGTTCAATAGGATAGTGTTTTCCCGAGCTCTGGCTGAGTCGATAGATCGGAATGTAAAGCCCTGACTTCCTTTCTCCAGTAAACTCCGGGCTTTTTGAAGGGAGGGGCCGGACTGGTCTTCAGGAAGATATCTTGTACGGTCCAAAAGCTTGCGAACAAGAGTCTCTATACTCAGGGATTCGCGAAGCAACTGGGCTTGATTCCGGGGCTCTCGGTAGTATCTCCCATTTGCACTCTCTTCTTGCATAATTGCGCCTTCGAGCCTATCGTAATCCATCTGTCTCTTGGAGTTCCGCAGCGGCTGGTCTGAGCAGCCGTAGTGTTCGTGCTTTAGAGCTTCGACAAGATCCGATGCGCTAATGGTTGCTGGCTGGTGTATTTCCTTCATGTAGGGACGACTGTTGTATATCTTCTTTAGGCTCTGCCATAGCGCATCCATCTGTCGAAGATTGAGTTCTGGAGCTGTCGAGTCGTCGTCCGAGCTGGGCCGCTGCCGGCCATCCTGAAGGTCGGCCAGCTCCTTTCGAACTTCGTCTAGCTGACGATCCAGCTCTTTCCTGCGGTCATCCTTCCTGACGGCATCTACTAATGCTGCTGTGGCGAATACCGAGCTGTAGCATGCTGTGAAGAGCTCGGCGAACGTCGGCTTGCGGCGAGCAGAGACGGGTCTCTTGCCCAGGGTCTCAATGGCGTTGGTGCAGGCTTTGCACCCACTGCGAGGAGCCTTACCGGCTCTAGAGAGAATCGTCTGCATCACTCAGGCATTTGTATGCACACATGAGGTTTCCGAGAGAGGCGGCGCGAATGATGGCCGTCAATTGACGTTGAAGCTCCGGGTGTAATGCAAATCCACGAAAATCGAACGATGCTGCAAGAGAGGTTTCTACGACGTCACGTGATCCGCCAATTCCCCCACCTCGATGAAATTGATCTCTCTTACACCATCTGCGTAATTCATGGGAGTCAGAGTGGAAAATATCACGAACTCGTTATTTATTTTCTTCTTTGATTCCTTTCTCAAATTTCTTTCTATATACTAAAGCTTCTGAATACGCAGAAATGTTCGCCCTTGTACTGACAGCAGAGCTGACGGGGTATGTGCTTTGATTTTTGCCCCGCGGTCTCACAGAATGCAGTCACTCACATAAAAACAGCGTCACCAATTTGCGCCCCGATGATTCGCAAGACAACCCGTTCTGGTACATGTTCAAGGTCCAGTGTACGTCTTGCAGAGAGACGCATGAGAACTATGTTGGAGTAAACCGCTTCGTGCGTTAATCTCTCATATCCAATATGTCTACGAAACTCACATTCCTGAGCAGGAAACAAATGAAATGAGCGGCAGTCGGGGCGAGGCCAACTTTGTTTGGAGATGCAAAAACTGCAAGGTATATTTTGCTGTCGCTCTAATAAGTTGCTGAATAGCTTCTAACATACCTTGTTTTCTTATAGCGAGAGTCATCTGCGACGATCAAGGCAGCTCCGGCAGCCTATGAGCAGGGAGAGCCCCCCAAGCCGCAAAAGGTGTTTGAGTTTGACTGCAGAGGTTTGGAGTTTACAGAGTTTAAGGCAGAGGTATGTCAAGGGTTCATCCCCGGCTGATCGTATGAGATTCGTTGCTGATAATGCTTCGCTTGAATAGGGCGAGTGGCTGGCCGATGGAATTGACTCCGGCACCAAGTTTACCGGAATCGAGCTGATAGACGGAGAATGGTTTGACTACGACGAAAAGGCGGGCGAGGAGGTCAGCATCAAGGAGCTTGTATGGGAAATAAGGAGAGCGTAATGTAAAAATGTTGATTCTAGTTTAATAAATAGATCGAAAAGCCCGTCCAACTGCGTACCATTGATGGTAGAAATGCTTCAGTGCCCGATTAAATGCACTCCCCACAAAATCATGTAGACACCCCTGCCCCACACCTGTCCATCACGGTGCTGAACTTGAAAAGCTTCAAACTTGTCCCGACTTTTATTTACTGCAGCAGCTGAACAGAGCAGCGCAACTCACGAAATGGCAGCTGTCACCGCAAACTCCCCGGCAATCACCTTCCTCACGGACGCTGCTCATTTGCTTCGAGATGCAGCTCCAGAGACATCGGCGCATCTCCTGAGCCAGAGAGCAGGGCTTCTATACTCTCACGACATGGCACCCTCAGACCTTGAACGACAGCATGCCTGCGCTGCGTGCGGGCACATCATGATTCCCGGACAAGGAACTCAACTGAAACTGGAGACATTGAGGGCTACGAGGAGAAAGACGCGGCCTTCCAAGACGGCAAAACCTGGCTCTGCGCGAGAGCGATCCAAGGATTGGACGTGCGGCTTCTGCGCCAGAGTCACCAGAATCCCCCTCCCAGCTCCCGAACCCATCACGCGTCACAAAGCTTCCAAGGCAAAGATGCAAAAGCCCTCGGGCAACGTCGAGGCCCAAAAACCAGCCACTGCGAACGCGAGCAGCAAGAAGCGCGCCAAGAATCGCAAGGCTGGCTTGCAGGCTTTGCTCTCTGGCCAGCAGCGCCAATCGAACTCGCTGTCACTTGCAGACTTTATGATGAAATGAATCGGCGTACCAATGATCAATTACCCCGTCAACCATCTTTATCCGGCGACCAAGACGACAAATTTCTCATCTCGAATGGCGGCAGCGCTGATTGTTGAAGAGCAGTGGAAAATGAACCACCTGATTTTCATGCGCCAGCGCCAGGCAGATGCATCGGGAACGTTCTAGTGCAGGCCAGCCCGTATGACATAACCGCGACCGTTAAAATTGCCCCTCCAAAAAATTTAAGGCCCCGCCGTCGAGCCAAAACACTGCAGGGTGTATTTTTGCGACAACCTCAATTTTTTTAATCGTCTTTTTGTCTCTTTTCCCCATTCTTCATTCTTTTGTTTTCGCAATACCCAAATCAAAATGGCCGCCGAAAGCGAAAAGCAGAATTTCTTCGAGCCCATCGGAAACCAGGCGCAGGGCCTGGCAACTGGAACAGATGGCGCTGCCGCCGAGGACGATGATATCAAGCCCGTGGACGAGATTGAGTCGCTGTGCATGAACTGCCACGAAAATGTCAGTCGCTATATGCTACAAACCCTCCTGAGATGCCGTGATCATATACTAACCAAGATTTTAGGGCATGACAAGGCTCCTCCTTACCCAGATCCCCTACTTCCGCGAGGTCGTCATCATGTCTTTCTCCTGCGACCACTGCAACTTTCAGAACAATGAGATCCAGCCGGCCGGAACCATTCAGCCCAAGGGCACGCACTACGAGCTGCGCTTAACCACCCTCGCCGACTTCTCTCGTCAGGTCGTCAAGTCCGACACCGCGACCGTCAAGTTCATCGAGATCGACCTCGAAATCCCTGCAGGCCGCGGCCAGCTGACAAATGTAGAGGGCCTACTAACAGGCGTCGTTGACGACTTGGAGATGGGACAGGAGGCGCGCAAGGAGCAGGCTCCTGAAATCTTCGACAAGGTTGCAGATATCATCAAGAAGAGCAGGGCCATGCTAGCGGGAGACTCGTTCCCCTTCCGCGTCTACGTCGACGACCCTACCGGTAACTCTTTCATCGCGCCCGACCTCAAGGACGGTGTTGGCAAGTGGGAGAAGCACGAATATGCCCGTACTCCCGAGCAGAACCAGGCCCTCGGCCTCGCGGACAGCGACGCCAACGCCGACCATACACTCAACAACCCAGGTCTCACTGAGGATGGCGAAATCATCCCCAACGAGGTCTACAGTTTCCCGGCCACATGCCCCGGCTGCATGCACTCCTGCACAACACACATGAAGATGGTCGACATCCCCCACTTCAAGCAAGTCGTGCTCATGTCGACTGTGTGCGACGCCTGCGGTTACCGCTCCAACGACGTCAAGACCGGCGGCGAGATCCCCGAGTATGGTGAGAAGATTATCCTCGAAGTCGACGGCGAGGTCGATCTCGCCCGTGACATCCTCAAGAGCGAGACCTGCGGCCTTGAGTGCCCCGAGCTCGAGCTGCACGTCAACCCCGGCACCCTGGGCGGCCGCTTCACCACCGTCGAGGGTCTCCTCACACAGGTCCGCAACGACCTTCACAGTCAGATCTTTGAGGCTGGCGAGGGCGGCGACTCCCTTCGCTCCGACGAGAAGTCCCAGTGGGACAAGTTCTTCGCCAACCTGGACAACGCCATTGCCGGCACCAAGCCCTTTACTGTCATCTTGACGGATCCCTTTGCCAGCAGTTATGTCCAATCGCTGGTTGACCCCCCGGCACCGGATCCCAAGATCAAGAAGGAGAGATACACGAGGACAGAGGAGGAGGAGGAGGAGCTGGGTCTGGCGGATATGAAGGTCGAGGGATATGAGGAGCCTGAAAAGGAAGAGACCAAGGCTGAGGCTGAGGCTGAGACAAACTGAACATTTTTTTAACGTATGATGATGAGAACTAAAGTGAAACTAAAAAAGGGCATTTCAAGATATAGGATATGGGCATAGAAAAATAAAATATCTTCCTGAATAGCAACGCAGTAATGAGTCTCGGCTACTAAATCGTAGTGAAAGTCTCCTTATAAGACGCGGAAGCTCCTCAGCAACCTAATCCTTTCCTTCTCCCTACCTACTGAGAGGAGACAAAATGCCCTCAAGCCATAAACAAATATGTAGTTCATGTTTTCATCATATTGCACAAGCAAATTTCCGCAGGCTGCGCCTTTCATTGGCCAACCCATCACTTGTATCAGGTCTTATTGACGATCACAATTTACTCCGTACGTGTCACTAAGGTAGGTACTGTTCATTTCCATCTGGGCAACGCCATTTTTTGATATAGAAAATACCTAATGTGAACAAAACATCCTCAATAGAACAAAATATCCTCAAAAGAACAAGAAAATCCTCAAAAGAACAAGAAAATCCTCAAAAGAACAAGAAAATCCTCAAAAGAACAAGACATCCTCAAAAGAACAAAACATCATCAAAAGAACAAAACATCATCAAAATAACCCATCCGTCCAGCGCAACCAAGCCACCACAAACTACCCACAACCAACAAAAAGCCAAATAGTGGCTCAGAATAAGAATTTTTGCATCAAAGATTCAACCAGGCGGCATCGACTTGGGAAATCCTGAAATAGGTTTGCCATTCTTTAGCCCGAGACATAAAAGGTAACAGAGTGGCGTTGTAAACTTTGGGGCGTTGTTTTTTCATCCTATACCTTAGGTAGTCAGCTTCTCTTATCTCTGCTTGTCAAGGGGGTTTGGAGACAAACCAGGTGTGCCTTTTTTACTCAAGGTTTTCTCTCTTGGGGTCAGGGTTGCGAAATGCCTGGACATCTTTATGTAATCCCTTGACATCGTCATGTAATTCCTGGATATGCCAACAAAGGATTTCCTGGCACTCCTCGGGGTAGTCCTTACGGAGCATCTGTATCTCCCCAAAGATTGTCTTGCACTCCTTTAAGATCGCAACACGGTATGGCTGGAGATCACCAATAACTTGCTGGCCGACATCGTAGAGATCCATACGGTATGGCCCGATCGCCCGACGGAACTCCTTGATCTCATCACGAAGTATCTCGAGCTTACTGCGAACCCTCTCAGGGAATGTCTGCATGTCCTTTCGGAAGTCCTGGATAAACTCACGAAATTCCTCGCAACTAACGCGCATTTCATGATATATGAACGCATAATGGGGGAGGGCGAGAATATCAAGCTCTTCTTGTGAGAGCTGATACTTGATATCGTCTTTCATTGTGAAAAGGTGAAGTAGACGTAGGCGAAGATTCTGAATGACGGTGTGGAAACGAAGGAAGGATGGAGCGAAACCGAGAACGGGGAGGAACGAGAATATATAGGTGCCTGGGATAAACTTTGGTCGCAGAAGTATAAGGCATATGTACCTAGAAAGAAGTTTTGTTTCTTACCGCTATTAACTTCCTATGAGTACCGGGCAAGGGATGGTTACCGACATGTATTCGGCACCTTAGATGTACTATTACCCAGCATCCCGTGGCACAAATGTAGTGGTAATACATGTACTCAATGAACCTGATACCTTACAGTAACCTTCAATTGCCCCAAGCTGGAGGGTTCAGCTGCTCGATGGCTGGCTATCACCATGTACTCGGTGCTCCACGGAACTATAGCGAATTGACTGGGTGCCTCCCTGCGTGGTCCGGGTATGTGTCGATGATCCATCAGACGTTGAGGGTCTCGACTTACTCCTTGACGTTGAGAAGTTGGAATTCCTATCCATCCCGTTCTCGATGATCCGCCAGGGGTAGGTATGTGCCTGAGTTGATGATCGTCTTGATGTAGACGGTCCAGCTACTGCGGCAGGGAGTAAGGAGGTCATTACTGTAACCAACGGTACGGTCCTTCAATAAGCTGTTCAGATACTTTCAAGGGGTTTAATAAGTTGGATCAAGGTCATCCGGTTGGACCAAGGCCATCCAGTTGAGATTCTTCATTAAAAGGCCTCATGGGTGGCCACACGGGTATCTTCAAGGGAGATGCCCTCGTCTTCGATCTTTGAGGCTGATCCTGTTGGTATCACCGGGCTCTGAAGAGAGTACCTAAGGAGTTCCGAGTGGCATGCCTATGATGGGATGCGAGAGACCAAAAATATGGGTAGTTCTGCTCTCTATTGTGACTACATCCGGGAAAGATCGCGTCTCTGCGTCGAAGATAGTCAAGTTGGGCGAGGGGAGCGTAACTTGCAATAACTTCAAGGCGTCAGGTCTCGCTCCGGAACCTGACAGTGTGGCGTAGGAGAACCTTTAATCCATTCACAAGAGATGCAATGTGGGGTCTCTAGGGGGTAGAGATGAAGACTGCGTCAGATTGACCACCCACCACGCCTCAGGCATTTATTGTTTTCACTTTTTGCAGTCCAATTTAGTCAACGAGGGTCCGTAAATCTTCGTACCAACCAACGGTTCCTTCTATCTAGTTACGTCTATCAACGTTGGGATCACTTGGGCTACCTCACTCATCATCATCCAGTTTGTGTGGCTCGCCATGGTCAAGAGTGACCAAGTCATGGACATTGTGTTCGTATGCCTTCTAGTTTACTTTTTCTTTCCGTAAGGATCCATCTCCCCCTGGTTGTTTTCTCGGGGACTCACATCTCCCTTATCACTCTGGACTTCCCCCCTCAGGGAGTTATCGCGAGGGCGTTCCCAACTGGGCATCTGGGCATGGGAGGACGTGGTGAGACGGGAGTCTCTCACCATATCTGGCGATTTTTAGTAGCTCTCTCATCAGATGGCTGTATGGAGTTTTGTCTTGTTTCTTCAATTGAGGTAATCCAAGAGAGTGTCCTTCGATGAAGGCCAGATTTTCTATGAGAGTGGCTACAAGACACCCTCCCTTCAAATTTGGGGCACCGTCTTGCAACTTCTCTGTATCTGCTCTAAAGCATCCTTATACACGGTGACAATGATGCCGAAGGCATCACTTTACAGTGTGTAATATGGCTCGGTCGAGGTAAGTCATACCCCACTTGAAGGAACTAAGTCAAGCGGTAGGAGAGGAACCAGAAAGTTGGAAATTTTGGACCACAAAATGTTATGCCTGAAGCTCGCTTCCTCCACACAGAAATATGCTCTCGTTATTCCTTTGCATGCGAACCACGTTTGCCTTCTGTTTATGCGGTCGCTGCCTAAATGTGATAGCGTGATATACTATATCATGGAGCAAGGCTGGCCCGCCAAACCATTCTCAAATTGAAGGGCCATCTTTTCCATCAGCACCACGCAGTATCTGCTAAGTTTCGCTGATTCTGAGTTCTCCATGAGCAAAAATGTACTCTCTATGTCAATTGAGACATATGAGGGCAAGTCTGACTCTGTGATGAGCGCCCAACCGGGCCAAACGGGACGGGGAAAAAACAAAAAGATATCGAATGCGAGCTGCAGGGTTCGAACCTGCGCGGGCATGCCCACTGCGGATCGGTTATTACGTCCTAAACACAGCGCCTTAACCACTCGGCCAAACTCGCTATTGATTGTTGAAGGGATTGGCGTTATTCTCTTATATCAAGGAGTTGAAGGCATCGTATAAGTGACCTGCGAAGTGACATGTGAAGACCCTGAATTCCCGTTTCGGGCCAATCGTTATCGGAAGCACACTTCTTGGAAGGAGCACCTTCCTCAACAACCAGGTACCGACGTTAGTCTAGGTACGTACCCGACCAGCATTTCTCACGTGTCTGACGTAGAGAGTACCAAGTACGGTACATTTTTCACACAAACTTTTGGTGGTGAGAATCCATAGGAAAATCCCAACCCCACCTGAGCATCGCGATACAGCCAATCTGTACAACCTTTGAAGTTTTTTTTTTTTTCTTCTCGACCCCGATATTGATTTCATTTACTGAGGGTGCGATGGCATGATTATTTTTGCTTTGGTTTCTGGCAGCAAGATTTACGCATGCAGGGCTCTGGCGAGCAGATGAATCTTTTCGCGGCGCCTCAGGCATAACGCAGCAAAAAGCGCAGAATTTCGTTTGCGCCGTCGCGCCTCAACCTGCCATCGGACTACTTGGCGGCACCTGAGACTATACTTTCTCTCTTCCTTGGACAGCGCATCCCATACAGACAAGATGGCGTTTGACGACGACGATAGCCCGCTGGCAGCGGGCCCAGCTCCTGCGGATGGTGAAGGTGCCCCAACTGTGGAGGAAACTCTGGAGGACGACATGCCCGACTACAAGCTGTTTGCATCCGCATTTTCGAAAAAGGGCGTCTCCAGCCAGACGATCCGGAAGGGCGAGAAAGACTTTGAAACGCACGGGACCAGAGCTCAGGACGGAGCGCTAGAATCGAGTCGCAGGGCGCTGGAGGATGTTTTGAGCTACACAAGGATACATAAAGGCGATGCGTGGGCTAGAGGTTGGTGTTTTCCAGATTTTTGGATGGACGAGACAAACGTTGCGCTCGATTACGAGGGCATGTGGCTAAAGGACCGCGTGGTGGTTATGGAGCACGAGAAGGGAGGCTGGATGAAGGACATTGGAAGAGTGGCCTCTGGGAGCAAAGATCAGCTTGGCGTGGGAAGGCTATGGCTGCTTCCTGAAGAAGCCATCTATCTTGTCGAGCGAGGCACTATTGACCTATGGTGGCCATATACCGACTTTGAAACCCTCGTGCCCAAGGGAAGCGCTACTAGCGGACCGCCTCGGCCTGGCTTTGGTCCGGACGATTACGACGTTGGACTACCGCTGAGTCTAGAAGCTGCATATTCACTTTTTATCGGCTACGAGGATGAGCAGGGCAAGACAACGCTGCCCAAGTACCAGGTCTACGCCCATCTAAAGCGGGCGGGATTTAACATCCTCCGCGCGCCGCCTAAACAACCGAGACCAGAGCCAACGGAACCTTCGCAGACGCTATGGCAATGGCTCTTTTCCTTTGTCAAATGGGAAACGGGACAGGATGGGAAACATCGACAGCAGCCATTTGGCCCGCTTGTCGCGCCGGGACTGTACCGGTCCTATCGACCTATATACCAGCAACTTGCCCTTGTGCCTCGACACAAGCCTCTCCCTGTACCACCGAGCCCATCCAAGCCAGAGGATCCCTTCCGAGTGCACTTCCACGTATGGAAGCCGGGCGCGGGCGGGTTCTCCAAGAAGAATCCTCCGCCCCCAGATTTCCGAATTGCCGTGGCCGACACAGCCGACTCATGTCTTCCAACACTGGAACAGATTGAGACATTGCTGGAATCGACACCGTATGATCCTGCGCCAGAAGCATGGAAGGGAAATCCCGGGAGGCTGTATCAGCGACTAAAGCACGGGCATAGGAACGTGCTTGTGGCTGTGGTGGACAGAGGATTGGTCAACTTTATGAGATTCGGAGAGGGCGCATTTGGAGAGGAACAACTGTTTGAAAGATTCGATAATAGAAACAGCGGAAGAGGAGGTAAGAAAGGCGGTCGCGGCGGTGGTCGCGGCCGCGGAAGAGGGAGAGGCCGAGGAAGAGGAGGGCGGTGATGAAACGGTTAATTATCCGGTTGGCGGAACATTGGGAGTTGTGGGAGTTTCACCACTACGGATCTCGACATGATTTTTCGGAGGAAAAAAGACCATTTGCTTTCTATGATACACGGTGATAGTTTTGTGTCCCGCGACAACTCAACCCTCGATCCCGAGGTTCGGGCTTTCTTGATATGGCACGCTGGAACGCAACAGCATTCTTACGACAGCGACGGGAGTTATGAATCTATGTTTACAAGCAACGGAGCTATGGGTGGGGAGGGTTGAGAGAGTTGGGCCACTGGGGATGCTACACGTCTTTGAGTTGCCATGATTCAAAGAGCAATCTGTAGGATATATTACAGGGGTATTCGTTCTATTTGCGCATGGATGAGTCTATCAGTGCCGCGAAATGGGCGTTCCACAAAGTGCGAGTCATGGGCTATTTACAGAGCAATGAAACGGTCAAGGGCAGTTCGAGTCGTATTCCGGATCCGGTAATTAGTATTACTTACGTTGTATTATCATTAGGTAGCCTAATTCTTTTGCTTGAAGGAAGCGGGCACAGTGTTGATTATGGCGCAATCGCTTTGTTTGCACTCTAGGATGGACAAGAGGGATCCCGCATTTGCCAAACTGGGCAATAAAAGGCGACGAGTTTGCGTATTATCGTATTATCTCATACGACAGACAAGACAACTAGAGAGGCCAACGGCACTTACCGCAACCTCGGTCTAAGGCTGATTCGCACGTCCACCTTTATCGCCGAAACAGTTGCAAAAGCCTAACCTGGGCAAATCAGTCGGAATTAAAAGAGGAAGTAAGTGCGAGAGATACGAAGTTTCGATAACTTTACTGTAGCACTTTCAACCGGCTCTGTTTCTATCTAGCGTTGCTAATGATTACATCCAGATGACACATACAAGACAATCAACGCACACACGCCCCCTTGCAATTACCCAAACGGGGAAGGGGAGATTGTAGCTGGAATTGCGATAATTAGATCAAAAGCCCCGTAGGTGAATATAGAGTAGACAAAAAAAAAGTACAGATTACACACACCCCCCTCCCCCTCTGGAAACAAAAGGGCGTGAGACGAACGAAAAAAAAAAATCCCATTGAAAAGGCGGAGAGATCCACACGTCAGATTGGCGGCCCTGCATGCACTGATTGACTCGGCTTTAGAAAAGGCGAAACACTTACTTGATTTGGGGGACCGCTGACACTTGAAAGCAAAAAGCGATACTAGTTGCTGTTGAAGAGGCTCGCGGGGGGTTGATTGGACGGCGTTTTCTGGATATGTTCAAGGGGAGGATGTTTTACGGGGTCGGGTTTTGATGGTTTCGCAAAATGTTCGGGGTTATGGTTTTTAACGAAGTTACATGCGCAGATCCGTGATACGTGGCATGAGACAATTGAGAAAGCCGATGATTAATCCGAAAAGGCCGGATGATACTCGTAATATTGTATTAGACAAGATGGAGAGAGGATTAGTTGCTGAGAACCTTTATGGGTAGTAGTAATATGGAGTAACCGAGATGTGATATTACTGTCATCTGCATAGTACTATCTCGCACGCTACTCCCATGATAGGATGCAAAAGGCAACGGGAATAGGAGATCCGGTTGTGTGGTAAGACCGTATTCTTGATTCCACAGCAAAAAGGCCGATGGATAGTCAGACAACAAAAAGAGAAAAAGATAGACAGAAGAAGGGGTTAAAAAAGCCGACGAATTGGTACGAGGTTATGCGGAAATATGCCTATGCCGTCAACAAAATCTCATATCATCAACCTCTTTGCTCCCGTAAGCAAGATTATGGCGGCCTTTTGGGGGGAGACCAACGGCCGTTTCGAGGGCACAACGGATTAGAAAAGAAGACCATACTATTTAACCCAATTTTATTTTTCTGACGGCCTTTGAGTTTGTGACATATCTTGGCGAGCTAGCCGGGTCAATGGTCACTGAGACCATGCAATCAATAAGTGAGCATTATTTTGTCTTTATTTGTTATTATATCTCCGCTTTAAAACGACACGAACTTGGCCGAGCGGCCGCATTGACATGCCAGGTGTGAGTTTATATCGGGAAAAATTCCCAAACAAGGATGCCAGCAATAGGAGCTTGCGTTTCGAGTGATGAGATTAGAGAAGTGGGAGAAAAAAACGTTACACAGGAAACATAACTAAAGAGAAACTCATTCGCAACTCGCCAAGGAAAGGGTACTACCATCCCCCTCTTTTTTTTTATGAAACATAGAGACAGGGTCTTTTGTAGCCATTCGTACTGTGTGTCTTTGAGGGGTTTCGGATGTTTGCAAATCGGCGTGCGTCAACTCCTCTCGCAACCCTCAATGCGACGCTCGTCTCAATGGTGTCTGTCTACGTGTTTAACATTTAATCTTGTCCCGTGTGACTTGTTGTGCCGTGGCGGCGTTGACCAGCCATTCAGGCAACACCAGCTGTCCGACTACGCTCTCTGTGGGCTGCATATAGCAGAGCCCAGGATCCAATGGTTGTGGTTTTCAATATCGGCTGTGGCCAAACGAGAACGAGACACACACGCACATGCACAACGCACATGCACATAACACATATGCACTGTACGAAGTTGCAGTTGCTTCTATCGAATCGCCGTATCTCTCTCTCTCATGTCTCTTTCACTAGTTACTTTTTTTCCGGTGTGTGTAGCTTTACCCGCATCGGCGCTTTTCTCTGTTTCTTGCTCGCAAAAAGTTGACAATCTGGAATCAAATGCCAAGAAGCTTAGAGAAGCGCCACGGACAATGTTACTAGCTGGCTGCAGAGTTACGGAGCAAAAGGAACTACCCTAGGTACTACCTAACCCAGAGTACGGAACCAAAAGTGCAGTGCAGCGCGCTGTATCAAGAGCAACAAGGAACGGCGATTACAGATACCCGGTCAATCTTGTCAATGGATGTCACTTTACCATGCCGACCCCCGGCAGCAGCAAAAAAAGACGCCCTTTGTTACTCCGTACAAGTGCTAGTATCAGTTAGTACATGTTGGTAGGGGTCCGAGTGAGACAGTGAACAAGTCCGTCCGTCCATTAACACACAGCGAAGCCATCGGCATTGACTATCCATGAAGGTGAATAATAGGCGAGCTTGCCGAATTACCCTGATGGGCAATTGCGGGAATAAAGGAGAAAGAAAACCGAAACCTACTAAGCAAGAGTAATGATGACTTAAGATGACTTAATCGATCGAAAGAAAGAGAGCCAGCAAGTGAGTAAAAAGCAAGATGGAATCATTCGGTGGCGCCGGAAGAATTTTGGTTCTACTTTGCACACCCCCTGGAAGAAGCTTCTGTTGGTTCTTCCGAAGAGGAAATATGTACGAACCACACACAAGCATTGTCTATCCGGAAATCCTCCCCCCTTCCCCCATTCCCCGCCTACGGTAGTAACAAAAAAAAAAGCTGAAGACTATCGGTGGGTCTAGCGGTGTTTTTTCTTATTCGTCTCTTTTTTATTTTTTTGGGGGTTTTCCCTTGGTGCATTTTGAGCAATTCCCACTTTCAATGTGTGTGTTTTGACCGTTGTTTTTGATCCGAGACAGGCAAATGCTCACAACCTTAACCGGGGGCTCCTCTTTGCGGCGCCTCGTATGTGTTTAGCTGTGCCTAGTGCCGCATTTGGAATTTTATTTGCTTAAATTAATTACTCTATTTTACGACTTGGCTGTTCCAGCCCGTTCCCAAATACAATGAGCTAATTTGCGCTAATGCAGATGGACGATATACTACAGCAATTACCCAACTGGGTATAACGACGGGCATCTCGCAAAGTATAATGTACTGGCTGTACTTTGCATCACACGATTCTCGTCTCGACTCAAGAGATTCCCGGCAGGATCGAGCGCATAGGCTAATCGATCAGTCTAGGGGACTCGCCCCGGTGATGCCAAATGCCTTTGAACATGCAGACGTCCCTATTAGTAAAACCACCTACTGCCTATCAAGGTAACACTATCTATCGGCTACTCTGTTTGCCGGACCAAGAAAAAAAAAAAGAGGCGTAACCCAAAATCCTCCCATTACCCTAGAGGTACAACACAAAAGAGTGCGGCCTTTTGCGGCACCAGCCTGAGTGGCATGTCGGCGGCACAAGTTGCATGTAATCTGGCCTGGTGGGCTGCGCTCTATCAACCTTTTGTGTCGGCCCAACGCAGCCACGAGGCGTATCTGCCCAAGAAATCCAAACAATGTCTCTCGCCCTGTGATAATCATCTCCGTAATTAGGTTGCGCTAGTTGGCGGCACGGTCAGAGGTAAAGTTTTTAGCTGTAACTTGCACACGGGTCTCGCGGGTTCTTTTATGGAGCAATGTACAAGTACATAAAAAACACGTTCCATGCGAAAACAAATCATTCAATGCTAAATAGTGCCCAGTGCTAACTAGTTACTGCAAGCCGGGGATGTAGGTGGTATGATATGATATGACACACAAGAGAAAGGACAAAAGACGCAAGGCTCTCGGGGTTTCTTGCCTTGGGCGCCCAATTCCTCATTTTGACCGTTTTGAGTAGTTGCTGGAGTATTTTGCTTCAAGTTGACTCAGCATGTCAAATCGCTTGCTTTTTTTGGGACGGCCTGGTCTCGAGGGACGAACAGCAAGCAGGGCAAGTAAAAATAAGCATTGATGGGCTGATGCAAGGAAGGCAGAAAATACCCCAAGAGCTGGGGGGGTCCTCGTCCCCCAAGCTGACGTCGAAGGGGATCTGCTGGGCAAGCTAGTACGACTCGGTGCAAAGTCCTGTCATCAATAGTTGATTGTCCCTTTTTTTCGTCGAGGTTTGCCTAAGACCGCCAAAAGGCTCCATCACTAATCACAAATCAACTTTTTGCGGATGGGCAAATAATTACTGTTAGCCCGTTTGCTAGTAGCCAGCTGTGACCGCTCGTAGCGAGTCAAACCTGGGACATGCTAAACAAGGCAATTGGATATGTAATTCCTTCAGCCGACAGAGAACGCACACACACACTATGAGTAGTACTGTAGGTAGGTAGGTACTCACACACACACGAAATTTCGGGTTTATGTATGGTGTGGGGGTTGGCCTATCGCGTCAGCGCAGCAGCATGTGTCTGCGGCCACGGGATTGGACGCAAAGGCCCTCCCCCCGTTTGGGAAAATGGAACTTGATGCCATTCGCAGGGCCCAAAGTTCTCGACCATGTGTTTTTATTTTTCGGGGCCGAGGTTTTCAATGCCCTCTCTTCTCGGGTTATGCAGCTCATTCTAAGCGATTATGATGGATGGTGACGAGTAAGTGGGCACGCAGGATCGAATCCTTTTCATCCATCCTGAAGCCAAGGGCAACTAGTAAAAAGAGCGGGAAAAAAGACCCAACCAACAGCCGGAAACTCGAAGCGGCGTAAAGTTGCCGAGAAAAAAACAGGTTTCTCTCTCTGTCTCTCTTTTTTTTCCAGACTGTGTTTTTTCTCTTGTTTCTTTTTTGTGTTTGATGTTTTTTTACGTATTCGGTTATTGGTCTGCGTTAGCAGCGTTTGCCTCAAAAAGTAGGGGGTTCACTATGTGCTCGGCCTGTATTAACCGATGTAACCAATGAGAGACAACAGCAACGGAACGGCTAAGTTGACACGGCATGTTAGGGGAGAATTTGAGGAGCGCGGAGAAACATGGGGTGGCTTTTTTGCGTTTGTGCGTGATTGTGTAGGTGCTTGAGGTGCGTGCTGCGGTTGTGTTTTGCTCTGGTAATCATTTTCCAGTTCATCTTTCCTGCGTCGTATTGATTTAGACTCCGGCAAGTATGGATTTTTGGGTTGCTGACTGCGTGAGTTTTTGTGTGAGATTCCCGGTCTTCCCCTTGCCTGTACTAGGCACACTTACCGAGGTGGGAAAAAAAAGAAGGCCGAGGGGAAGACAGAAAAGAAAGGGAACTTGTTGATTAGTGCTTCCAATGAGAAGCACTGAATGACAACAAAGTTTCCATTGCCCAAAATGCTCTTCGAGAAACGGAAGAACTCCTTCGTCATCTCTGCAGAGCGTCATCGTGAATTGCCTGTTCTAGACTTTGCAACACGCCCCCCCCTTGCTTCCAGCTCTCGGAGTTCCACGCGTTATAGGGACCTGTACTTGTAGTTTCCTAGTGGAGATCGCGTTTCCGGGGTCCGAGTGCTCATTCCAACAAAGGGAGGTCCTGGTACTAAGAGAGAGAGCCAAAGTATATAATTTTTGTGACGTGTTGCTTTGTGTTTCATTTGTCTTGCTGCCTGGTTCTCTACTAGCAGCACTGGTGAAACGGGCGAGTTATGCAACTGACAACTTTTTTTGCATTTCCATAGACTACTTTCATTTGAACTATTTCAACTTGATTGATAATTCGTCAGTTGCATTGTACCCGTATGGACTTGATTGAACAATTGGTTGATTGGGTGGTCCCCCTATCTATCTATCTGCCGACATTCTGCTGGCTGCCTCGTACTCCTTGCCTATCACAGCAAAGTAAGTCCCTGGTTTGGTTTTAGTAACCCAAGGTACCTATGGGCTATGGGCTATGGGCTATGGGCTATGGTGATCCGTCGTATATTCGTATGGAGTAATGCGGAAGAATAGATTCCAAAACTAAACTTGGCGCAACTGAAAATCGAACGACGGCCCTGCGCCCGTGCGCTCTTTGGGCAACGGAGACTCGGCCCCAAAGGCCAACATGTGAACTGAGCCTTGTGCGTATTTTCTCCGCCAGAATGACAGTTGCGCCGTGCCGGGTGCACCGCCATTTTGACTGGGCGCGGACTTTTTTTTATTTCTATTTTTTCCTGTTATGGTTTGTTTTTATTTGGGGCTTCAGGCAATTCCTTTTTGTCAATTTTTTTTTTTGCTCCGTGCCTCGGAATTTATGCTGTTTTGTATATTAATCTGCGCTTCCCAAAAGAGAAAGACTTGCGTGCTCACCAACGAGCTCTTCCTACAGTACGGAGTAGTACTACCACGCAAGGTTGGTTGAGGGGAGAGAGACACAACCAGAAGCTAATAATACGACGCTGAGAACTTTTTTTTATCCATCTCATTTCCCAAGTCTCGCCGCCTTGGCCCTGCGCCGAAAATGCATCTGCTTTGTTAATGCCAAGCAAGCTGCTCCAGTATCAATTCACAAAGTACAGCCCCAAAAGTGCCCGCCTAGAACCCTCTGAGCGGGTTTGATCGTATTTCGCATTTATTGGACTCGATCCTTCTGAACCACTGTTATCTCCTAGCCGGGGCGTATTAGAGCTTTGGTGGCTTGAGCCGGGCTTGGGTGCTTGTAAGGAGCGCCAAATATAATGCGTGCGTATTCAGCACAACAAACGGGAAATGCACGTCAATAGTCCGCCTTGCCTGTGACGATTACAAACGATTACTTTTGTCGTTGTGTCCATTTGCGGGAACATGTGACGAGGCTGGCGTCTGGTCCCCTAGTACTACTCGCAGTAGTATCGAGGCAACAGCCAATCAGCCCCCCCAAGCAGGATCTCGATTCACCGCAGCAGCGAGGGTGCGGCAATATTATGTCAAGTTATTCATGGCCTTCTCTCGGCGCTTCGTATCTGTCATAGCTCGAGATGCTCGTTCGACGGTGATTGGTGCCTTGGACGCATGCTATAGGATGCCGTTGTGCCTAGCTCGTGCATATACTAGTTACCATACTGTAATGCATCATTACCTACAAAGGAGGGGAGCGGATACATCCAATGGTCCTTGTAGCACTTGGCAATTCAATAGTACTCGTAGTCCATTAGGTAGGTACCTCAGCTATCATATGTACCGTATTGATGTGCTACCGGATAGGATCACGGAAGCAAGCACAAGCACAGGAATGGATAAATGAATGGCTGTCCGAGTCGGTATACTTATGTGTTGCTTTGCTTGTCTCTGATGAGTCCTGCTTGGCCTTGTCTCGCCAGCCTCTCGCTCGCACCGAGTCAAGCCAATCCAATATATCATGCGCCATCCCTTGAGAAGGAACCAAGACACGACTGTGTCTCTTGTCTCATTCATTCATTACCCGTTACGACAACTTTCGCACCCCTGCACCCGCCTCCACTCTGCGTTCTAGGGGACCCGTCCAAAGTAGCTCAACTTGTCGCAACTTTGGTCGTCCATCACAATCACACGCCCCCTCCCTCTCGCTGGGCTTTTTCTTTCGTTGTCGTTCAGTGCAGCGTCTAGACGGATCGGGGCTGTAGACGTAGAGGTAGTCGTAGGTAGGTAGTCATGTAGTCTACAGAGTCCCATATTAACCCTTCCCTTCCGCTAGAACAGCTAATTTCCTCCCTTTCTGCTGCTCCATTTCTCTCTCAGTGCCGTCTGTGTGTGGCGAAAAGTCAATCAGAGATAGTATTTGGTAGGTAGATTGAACAGTAGTTGAACAAGGGGACAAGTATAGCATTCATCTTGGTTTGTTTCTTGTTCGACTTCTGTCCTTTTCTTGCTTCCCCTCTCTTTTTTTTTTTTTGCTAACTTGTTTTTTTTTTTTTTTTTTAAACTTCTGCTCTCTTCCCTCTTCCTCTCTCATCGCCCATCGTTTTCGAGTCATTTCAGAATACGGCGAATTTGTCCGGCCAAGTACAGTACTCGTAAAAAAAGCTGTATTAATCAGTTAGCACCACTCGTATATCGTGCTAGTATCTTTCGGGGGTGGCGACCTGATTATTCACTCGTTACGCCCTTGCTTTTTTCCATTTTTTCCCCCTCTTGGATTCCCACCTGCTCTCGTTATTTATTAGCTCCATGTTCGTCTTTTGCATCGCACACCCCCCCCTTGTCACCGATTAGACTCAGACTCGCAGCCGATCAGGTCTGTTGGTTTCCGGGACCCGACAATCTCTCTTCAGCCCAGGTCCGGACAGAGGCTACTTGCGGGATCCTCATAATATCATTTCGAAATATTCTCCTCCTCTTCTTTTTCTTCTTCTCTTTCTTTCTTTTCTCTTTCCTTCTTTCCCTAAACCATATTTTTGTAGGCACAGTTTGTCATCACCAAACTTCGTCGCCCATCACGTGTATCTCCCGCCTCGACAACGCCCCTGTTTCTTATCTTGACGCCCTTTGTGCTTTCCATACTTCAAGTCTCAGTCTCACTCTCCGTCGGCTAAATCTGTATTGTGGTATTCGGTGTTTACATCCATCGGACCCAGCCGAGCTTCTCGCCGGCTGACAAGACAAAAATACTACCAGCCGGTCAGCCTTGACCCGGTAATAGTGCTTGATAGCATCGTTTCTTTATATAATCACGACCCCAGCCCTTCGCCGCGCGTTATTAATTCCACAACACAACGCAACTCGAGAAATCTCACATGATGGACGGCGTAGCTGTTGAACATTATTCGCGGACACCGCCGATCCCATCAACAGAGACCAACATGGCGACTCTTCCACCTCCACAGCCTAGGGAGCCGTCAGAAAAGAGAGAGCTGCCTCACCACCCAATGCTGAGCACGGCGGCCCTGTTGAATCCCATCATCGAGAAGACGCCGCCGCCGATTGTTGAAGAGCCTAAGCCGCTGCATCCAAACACGCTGCCTCAGATTCAGTCTCAACCTCCGTCTCAGCCTCAGCCTCAGTCGTATCAATCTTATTCAAACTCACACTCGCACTCGCTGTCACGTTCGCCGGTCGATAAGGGACCTTCAGCATCGACGACACCTCCGCGAGAATCTACCAACGGACCCATCATCAACGACATGCCGAAGTGAGTTTACTATTTTTTTATTCTACTGTCTTATATGTCTTCTATTCTGTCTCTTTTTCTCGTCTTCAAATACACATGCATCGTTCGTCATGGAAAAGTGTCCGCGGCAAGCAGCAGATAAGTATGAAGCCTATCTCGCTCTCTCTCTCTCGCCCTTGCGCCTATCCGCGCCACTGCAGCTCGAACCGAACTCAATTCCGTGTGCAACTCGAGTTTCTGGTCTCGCCCCCTTTTTTGCGCCCTTTTCCTTGGCCTCCTGTTTCACGGCAACAAAGCAAAAAAAGGGCACCAAAACCAAGACTTTTTTTTTTGCTGCGATTCACCGGCCGTCTTCTATCGCTGTGGGGCCCTTCCGCCTGCCACTGCCCGAGCATCTCCTTGTGATTGCCCGTTAGTTCTGTCTCGCCCGGGACCAACTGCCTTGCAATTGTCTTAGCAAACTTCTTCGCCTCGACTGCTTCTTCCTTCTTCCCTTCTTCACTGCAAAATCCAAAATCCAGAATCCCACCCGCAAAGACGCAATCGCGATATCGGCAACCAAGCAGCTGGAATGGAATAGTCGTGCCATTTACATCTCGAATGCACAAAACACCATCAGCCTCATCTTTCTGCCAACTTGATCCTTCTCTGTTGTCAGGGTTGTTCTTATCGTCGTTTTCGGCTTCGACACACCATTTCCATGGGCATCCCATCCTTCACATCTCCTTGCAGTCTTCGTCAAAGGTGAGCTGAGTTTGCTAGGCAACTTGATTGGTCCAATACTCTGCAGCCTGTCCTTGCCGATCGAGGTGTGCCGCTCACAAACTTTGCCTCAAGCCTAGTGGCTGAGGACGGAGGCACTTATTGGCAGTCGGCGCAACGTGTTCCCGTAGGAATGGACGTCTTATATCGATGACTTGTGCGCGGCAGTGGCCTGATTCCGATCTTGCATCTCAACCTGACCCCCTGATCTCTGCCCCATTACCATTGCCCTCCATCAATCACATGCCGCTTATGACATGTTTCATGCTGCAGCTCTAGACAGCGAGTTGCTGTCAATCTCTTCAAGAGCCCAAGATAGGCTCCGATGCCATCTTGCATCTGCAGCACCGGAGTTCCGTGCACCATTTCTCCCCAACGCTTGCACGTCGGCTAGGCGCCTGCTTCCTTGAGAGCAGTTGTCAAGAGAAACAAGAGGACAGGAAAAGGAAGTTGCGGCGCTAGTTTTGTGCAATATTCCATCTTGCTGCCTGGCCCATTAGTTTCATTTAGGCCCAAAGACAACCCATCTCTCTTTGCTATCTGATTATAGCTTTTACTCTTCTCGAGTTTCCCTGTCTTCTTGATTCAGCATTTGTTCTTTCATCATTCAATTTTTTAAAAGACTATTTTCTGGTTTGCAAATCATTTTGAGTCAAAATGGACCATTGCTCCTCCGTCTCTTCGCCTCTTAGTGACGGGCTTTCAACCGCTCCATCGACACCAGCTGACATGAATCCCAGACCGCTCAACGGACACAGCAAACCTTTTGACGACAACGAACCAGAAAGCGAGCTTAGTGAGCCCGATAGCAACGTTCATTCACCATCAGGGGTGGGTCTGAATGATCAAGCCGGCTCTATTATCGTTCATGCCAGTACTAACGGTGATCTAAAGTCTTCTCCTCTTCGCGTCACTTCTGAAAACGACGACGAGACTATGAAAGATACCCAAAATGAAGCCGCAGTTTCTCACTACCCTAAGCGCAAGCGAAACTCGGTCTTTACCGACCTCAGTGAGAGCAAGATGGAAATCTCCAATGACGGAACAAAGAGTCCTCCTCTCGTACCGGGCCTCAAGTCCAAGCCATCGCGACAGAGTCTGGGAACCGTCCGGGGCGTCTTGTTGGGCCACTGGAGAGACTCGCCAATCCCTGATCCCGAAGGTCGCCATGCAGTGATAGGCTTCATTGACGTTCGTGACCGATTACGTACTCGAATCCAGCCTTATACCGTTGCCAACGAGCCAATCAGCAACGAGTACCCCATGCCTCCGGGACCTGGCGGCAGCTGGGTTACTTTCGAACGCGTCGTCTTTTCCAAGCATTTGGTTGGCCTTGACCACTTTCAAGTCAAAGAGTATGTGAGGTTGCGAACTGACATTCAGGAAGAGAATGAGGAAGAACGCAAGACTGCGGAGAGAGCAGCAGTCAAGGAAGCCATACGCAGAGTCAAAGAAAACCCTGCCTTTGATAACCCAGCTACTCAGCCTGCCATAGCCCACGGTCCTGAATTGCCTGACTCGGCCTTTAGCCCCGGCCGCCCGGATGCCAAGAGAAGACGCGTGAGCGGTGGCTTTGCCGCCATCAACCCCGGCGGTAGCAATAGCCCACCGGAGCGGTCGCCTTTGCTGCCATCTCAGCCTGCTCTGCAACCTCGTCCACCCCATGTTCCGAAGCTGCATGGGCCTCTTCCAGGTACCCGGCCCACGCGAATCTTGCTAGGTTATTGGAAGGGCTCCAGCGAGGAAGACCCTAGGGATCGTCACGCCGTGTACGGCATTTTGGGTCAGAATGATATGTTCAGAGTAAAAGTAGTTCGTGAAACTCGTGATGGCCGATTTGTCGATGGCAACTTTCCCTCTGGTGCTGGCGCGCTCTGGATTCAATATGAGGAGGTGGAATTTGAACCACACCTCAAGCCGCTTCAGAGGTCGGAGATTAAAGAATATTGCCGAGTCCGCCAGTATCAACTGGATCAAGGCGAAGTACCTGAAGACCGCATTGGCAACGAAATCAGGGCCGTACACGAAGCTCAGGCTCGAGCGGGCTCCGGTTATAGACACATTCACCAGCCCATTGCTCCATACCACCCTATTGCTGCTGACGACTCAGACTTGGCAAATGGCCGGTCAGACGTTGGTGGAGCTCAGCATGAACTCCGGCAGTCGCGCCGCGGGGAATCTCGGGCTGCTCCACGACAGTCTTTCAACGAAAACGACCTACGCCAGCCACGAGCTTATGCCGAACAGGAGCCACAACGTCCAGACTCCCGAGCCACAAACCGCGGAATGAACTCAGACGGGATGGAGCGAACCAACGCCCTTGCTCGCAGGGAGATTGCGCGAGTCGAAGCTGCGCAGGGCCGCGCCGACCGCCACGCCATGCACCGAGAACGAGCCGCTGCTCTCGTCGCTGACGCTGCGGCTGCGGCTGCTGCCGCCGTTGTTGCCACGGTTCCGTCCCAAGCCGCCGCCACCACCAACGGCAGAACTCCTCGTTTCCATGAGTCGGAAGATATGCAGCGCCTGAATAAGGTCTGGGCCCGCCAGGAGACTCTGCGCCTTAAGGCTGGCGCCGAAGACGCCAAGGTGTACGACGGCGTCAAGTATGAGCGCAAGACGAATGGGCCGTTTATGGGCAAACTCGTGTCACAAGGAACTATAATTAACATTGATGGGGAAGACTATGTTGAATATCGCGTCCTTACAAAGCCCTCTTTTTTTTAACCGCGTCTTTTTACCCTACCATACTTATGGTTTAACTTGGGCTCATTGTACAACCAAGAACGCGCGGGGAGTTGTCACCGTTACAACATCACTCAACACAACGCGGTCATGGATGGAAAACTGCATTATCAGGATGATCCAAGACTGTTCAGCTTAGAGTGTTAAAAGGCAGCAACAAAGATGGAAATGGACAGGGAGACGATGGATTTCCCACTGACTTGATTTCCTTTCTTTTCTTCATTCTTCGCCTCTAATTTCTTTTTTCAAGTCTATTGAGGGGTTCGATTACATACATTGCTGCCTAGACGGATATACACGTACTGCGGCACACCAGGGAGGAATAATGCGACATGCACAGCGGCGTTTTTTCTTTTTCGTTTGGGAGACGGTGGCATGACCAACGTGAATCGAGGTCTTTTTTTCGTTTTGTTTTTCGTTGCACGACGGTTTTCGTTTTCTCTTGTTCTGTCTCTTCTCCTATTCAACGGGCTGCGTCTTTCTTTGTCAGGTTCTCCTTTTTCCTTGCTCGCCGTTCTCTGTCATGTCGATCCGATTTCTTTTCCTTTTTTTCCCTTTTCGTCCTGAATACCCTGTTTCTAAAGCTATGTGGTTGTGCGACGTAATAAATTCTGGGTCGGGATGGTTTTTGCTCTTTTTCTTTTCACCTTGAGGGCTCTCAATAGCTACTAGATGGGCATGCTACTAATTATCTCATGGGGTAGTTGTTGAAAATGCTCTTAGGCAGTAATTGATACGTCGAGTTCTAAACTAAATAATAGTCTTTCTTGTCTGTGGTTCTAAACTGAAACAATAGTGGTCTCTGTAGTTCTAAACTAAAACAATAGTTGTCTCTGTGGGCCTAGTAAGATGGGGCTACATAGATATTCGCATTGTTAAGATGATGTTTCATAGGTTGTTAGGCAATTAGGGTACCATATCGTCTTGATCTCTGCTTTGATGCTGAGCTACTCGGCTGCCGCTCTCTTCCATTCCCTCGTAGAGCTATTTAGTCCCGTTCAATGGGGATGGCCCCGACATGCGGGTGGACAAGCATGGGGACCCCCGTTAACGGAGAGCAAAGAACCACCTTGGCGGAGGTAAAGGATAATATGGAGCTTCTCCAATTTCTTCTTCGCGGGGAACGGCTTCTACGACTGGATGGTCAGAATGAAGTGACGTCGAGGCCATGTTATCTTTGTGTGCGTAGGGTATCGGTGTTTGTACTCCACTGCCCGTTGTCAACTTCCTGGACTTTGGAGATGATGTTCGCGCTGAGGGCTGTCGACTTCCGAGTCATACGCCCTGCTTTAGAAGCTCATAAGATCGAAAATCATGAAGCAGAAAAAGGCCGATAGGCCGTCGTTCTTTATAGAGCGGTTCAGAAATTTATCACTGCTCTCTTCATCACTTGAGCAGCCTCTGGGGTGAATATCATATGTTGCTTCGACTCTTTGTCCAAGTCATCGTCTAAATCTGGGTTGGAAATAGTGATGAGCTCGATGGGTTGAGGGTGCTCATCAATATCTTCAACAAGTCGCCTCTAATAATTATGATGATGGTCGGAGGCAGCTGCTTAGGGTCCCCAAAAAGGAGGCAGGGCAAGAGAGTTGAGTATTGCCCCAAACGCAGTAAAGGTCGCTTTATCCACTGCAACGCTGCGAGCGAGCCGAGTTATCCATTCTGTATACTGTGGCACATTTTCAGTTGCTGCGGGCGTTGCGCAGAGTATGTTGGCTTATGGAAAGAGACAAGGTTAGTTATTCGCCGTGGCGTACATTCTGTTTCAGTACGGCTGGCAAAGTCCCTGACGATGTAATCAGGATTCATATCCGCTCTCTTTGGCCGGCAGACTTGGAGGACAATCTCGTGCTTTTCGATCTTATGAGCTTCCAATGCAGGATTTAATTCTGGGTGGTCGACTATCTTCCATTCCCTAGGTCCGTCACTGTTAGAGTCAAGCAAGTTATGGAGCGAGATGTAGAAGAAGACATACCATTTGGCACCGGGGCTCAATGTTCTCGAGATTGTCATAGAGGTGGAGGAGGAAGGAGTCTGACTTGGTTAAGCGGCGCGCCAAGTAGTCTCATGCCCCTATCTGAACCCATCTCGCATGGTGGCAACAACAAAAAAGCGTGTAGTGTCCGCCGTGGGAGTTCTAGAGTCGGGGCGAACGAAGTAGGCCGGAAATTTGTTCGCAGTGATCTGTTTCTATGTTAGGAAAAAGAAGGGAGAAGAGGAAGAAGTAGAAGAAGTAGAAGAAGTTGCAGTTCACGTACCTCTCAGTAGCCACATGGTCGAGCCACATGAAATCGTGCTCCTCGAACTGTATCACGGCAGTCATGTGATGGTTATCATCAGATTGTCTTCAAAGCTATTAGCTTAGGTCTATCAAAACAAAAGGGGTACTAAGAAGCCTTACCTGAACGCTGTTTCGAACTGGTGGCCTTTATTGGCCTTGATCAGGTCCTTGAACTTGACAACGTCCAGCCTTCTACTTAAGCATCATCTGCGTTGGCAAAGGGCATGCCGAAACCACTGACTGTGACGCAGGCTTCATATGCGAGGCTAACACGAATGACTGTAAGGCCCTTCTCACGTCCCTTGGCGTTGGAAAACCGATCAAAAAAAATGGATTTTGAAGCCTCTTCGAAGGTATAGCTGCATCCTTCGCGAGGGAACTTGATATAGATCTCGGCTTGATCTGATGGTAGTACCGCACCGCCGCCAACACCTCTAACAACTGCAAATATCTAAGGTTAGAGCGCGTTACATATTGTGGTTTTGGGAAATGTTAACTCACAAGCATGACGGACTCCAAAGCCTTTCTGTTCATTGCCAATCTGCTCTTTGCCAAGGGGGAGACCTAATATGAAGCCGACCTATGGGTCCATATCTCTTCCTTTGAAGGAGCAAAACTTTGCGAAATACCGTGGCTGTCTTATACTGCCATGTTATAAGTCTTCCACAAGTTCCTGGTCTATGAGTTTTGGTGTAGAATTGCTCGGGTAGAGATTGCTTAGTGCCGGGAAGTCTTCGATGGAGTTCTTCTCAAACACTTCCTTGTATGTTTCAAATGGTATCAACTCATCAATCTTGTTTGCCGTCATCGATGCCTTTTGTTGATTTCTTCGGTATGGACTGCCGCGGTCTCTGCTTGATCGTGGAATATAAATCCTCTGTGTAGTTGGTACTTTTGCACACTAAAAAATGTAGCGATTTCCCATCCTTTCTCGTATTCAGCTCTTGCCTCCATAGATTGGGCAATATCCCATGTATAGTCTCATGGCTGTCAAGTGGCCTCTGCGAATAGTGCTGAATGCCCTCCGACTGGGCATCTCGCCGATGTATGTGATCAAACACCAACGTATTTTGTGCATATGTATTTCCCAACCATGGCTGTCTGTCGCCAAATCCTCCTTCAACTCGCTCATCCACTTCGATTTCTCCTTGCCAGTGGTCATGCTGACAGGGTAAGGAAACACAGACGGGGCGTTATCCCTCTTGACGATCGTTGGAAGCTATTTGAGATAAGCCATCGTGTCCTCCACCGAGGTGTATACATCTTTTCAGGGGTTGGTCTTTGGTCGCCATCGCCAGCATCGTGTAGTGTGGGAAGAAGGCCGGCTATAATCTTCCCCTAAACAATTTTCGCGGCCAGCATGCAAACGTTACCTCCGTCATCATCTCGTGCATGGCCATCGACCCTTGAGTCCTCTAACAGCATGTTAATGACGTGTACGCTTTGTAGTTCGCCTGAAGAGCCGGCCACCAATAATGGAGTCATGCCGTTGATGTGTTTTCCATTTGGGTCAACTCGGTCATAGTTAAGAAAGAGACGAACGACTTCCTGCCTGCAGCGCTGCACAGCCAATCCCAAGGGCGTTTCGTCCCGGTCGTTTTGCTCATTGGGGTCAGCTCGACCATCTTCAAGAAGTATACTGACTACTCCCCTATCTCCATTTGAGTTTTGCTATCTTCACTCTCGTTAGCTTCGTAGGACAGAAAGAAAGTGGCAAGCTTCCGTTGTTTATATTTTGCTTGTATTCGATCGCTGGCTGGATAATAGCTCCATTAAGGGGGGGATAATAGATACTAACCTTTCAAGAGAGGCTTCCCGATGCGGTACTATATCGAGCTGACATGAAATATGCCGTCGCTAGGATGCGGTGAAGGAGAACACCATCTGCCAAGAGGTGACTTTGGAATTGATGCCAAAGTTCAACAAGTAGTGGCCAGGTGATGCTGATTGGGATTCGCTTCCAAGCGATGCTATTAAGTTGAGTAGCTTCACCATTAGTTGGTGTTTTTGTGAAAGTATATCGCGAAATGACTGTTGACATAATGATAATCGGTATGCCGTTCGGTAGTATTTAACCCAAAGTCATAGCTTCCCAGATGGTAGACTAATAGAGGGCGTTTTGGTGTGGTAATGCTGAGTTAGTTGTTTCTGCATTCTCCCGGTGATCGGTTGTGGATGGTGGCTTTTAAGGCGAGGAGCCAATTCACTCTCCACAATCGATGGGTCGACATATTCGGCCGCACCATAGATTGCGGCAACGCGAAGTGGGATTTCCAATGAACCCGGCAGTTTCACTAGAATCAGAATCTCGGGTGACGGCGATTTCTGGAATACAGACTGAAATCCCGACTCGTAAATTTCTTCTTTGCCATCATGTATCTTCTCCATTCTAGGTTCTGGGGAAGAGTGACTGTCAACGTAGATAGTAAGCATCTTTATCAGACGCAAAGCATGATTAATACCCAATGCTTGAGAGGTTGAATTCTTGATCTTCGTGCGTATACACCATCTTATCGCCTTCCGTAGTTGTCCATGACGAGGCTTTTGCTTCCGCTCAAGGACTTGGCGATTCAGTCGAAGTATCGCCTGTATTCCAGGTAGTTGTGTATGCTTAGTGTTTTCCCTTCATGGCTGGCCACTGTATCGGTTATCGAGAATCGTTGGTCGATGGTAATGGCCTTGTCTAGGCAAAGTGGATATTGAGGGGGCTGCTTGGGTGATAATAGCCGGGTATTCTTCTTGTATGAAAGCTTCTAGGGCCCTGCCAGAGTCAAATGGGGCGGTTATGTTGCAAAGGCTGGCATAGACATTAGATACTTCTTTGTAGATGATGCTGGAGACTATATTGGATAGTTTGTTACCCATTCGCAGCTGGGTTGTGAGACGATATACGGGGATGCCACGGGTAAAGATGTAGCTTCAGGGCTTTGCAGCATCTAATGCGGGCTTCGTCGACTGTCAGCAGCCAACATCTAATTTTGCCCATACCGGGGCAAATCAGATGGTATTCTATGAGATTGCCATCTGTCACTGCCTTTTCGATTTCGCCTGGGAAGGGCGTTCCTGTTCCTCAAGGTGGGCGGGTTGCTGTGAGAGTGCTTGTGCATCTTGGACATGCAATGATAGGTCTTGTGCCCTTAATATATACTATATCATCGACAGGCAAGCGTCTGGCAGCCCTATCGTCATTGAATCGAATTGCTTCGTGTCTCCAATGAAGATTGTTGGGATATTTGGATGTTGCAACGGCGCGACAAATGCGGTACTGAAAAAAGTGACAGCGCAGCTAGAAAGGCAGTGGACATTGTGCTGCAGTGAGTTATTGTTGGTGCTGGTCGATGTTGACTTGAGTAGGTGTCTGTTACCAGGCAGCGAGCGTCAGACTTGCAAGACTCAACGTTGCCGGCTCGATAAACCTTCCAGCTTCGTCTACTACAACGAAAGATGGTATGAGCGGTTTTGATTCATTCTAAACGTGGTCAGTTATTGCCATTATAGCTACAGCAGTTCTGACGCCACGATCATTGAGGGTGAAATGCTCCAATGGGTTCAATGGCTAGAGATAACTCACGGCATAGTAAAGCTTGTTTGATCTCTTTCTGGTCTCATTTATTGTAGTGCCAATGGAAGCAGAGTATTGAATAATAGTGTGCTTCTTAAATGATCTCTTCAGACACTCGCCTCTTCCATTGAATTTCGTCAGAGTGCTGTAATACAGCTCCGTGTTCTTGCACAGAGAGACGAAGTTGGATGACTGTCTCATCCCTTTCCACCCCACCTTCGTAAACAGTGGATAAGAGGGATCGCCTTGTTTGTGCAGTAAGATCGTTGCGGTGAGTGAAAGATGGAGGAAACGAATGAAAAGGGAAGTATGTGGCTGCACCGACCTGGAAGAACGTTCCAGAGCCGACTAGAATGACAACTTTAGCAGTGTGATTCTTCTAGCACCCTGTGAAGTGTATTGATCATACTGACAGTGAAAGTTGGTGATTATAATGAGGGGTTAAGATGGGATATAGTGGGGAGAAAACGAAAGTAATAAGATGTGTATGAAACATTCCCGTACTGTAAGGGGGTATTCCGAGATGGAACGATTCGTCATGTATGATTTACCAGAGAAAAAGTGTCAGATTTTGCTGTGGTTTTCCATCTGCTCCAAAGAGGTCAGTAGTCAGGAGTAAGTAGCCAGCCAAATGTACATTGAGCTCACTTACAATGTGTAGTAAAACGAAGGGTAATCTATCAAGTAGTTGAGGCTACTGTTAATAGTAGACTTCGCAAAGGTCGAGCCGCCTCTGTAAGTGGGCAGCACATTGCACTGTAAGCTATCTCCTGGATATAGAAGAAGAGAAAGAATGATATCAATGGAGACTTGAGAGAAGGAGGAATAACAGGTCTTTATATAATCGCTACTATACTACTTGAACTCATCGTGCAGTAGATAGAAAAGAGAGCCGACGTCATCTTTGCCGGGTCACGACATGACAGACAAGAGTGAATGTGCTGCTACAACTGGATTCCTGAATTCTCAACAACTTCGTGAAACAGGCCACGTATGAGTGGCAACGGATAGCGAAGTTGGTATCCGCGCAAATTTTTCGCGAGAGCAAAAGAGTGGAAGACGATTGAAAGCCTAATGGCCTATCAACTCAGCAAGATGACATCATATAATGCTCAATAAAAGGGCATATGAAGCACTAGGGATGTGAAAGACTGTAACTCATTCAGCCTGGTGTATCACATGTCATGACTTAACAGCATCATCAACTGTGAATTGCTTGGCCATCAAGGTCATCACCACATACTCGTCAGGAAGTGAGTAGCCGCACAAAGTAACCCGGAAGACCGGTGAGAAAGAGGGGTAGAGCAGTCAATGATCAAAGTCAGGGCACGAGATTTGTTGGGGGCCTTTATAGCCTGTATTCGAAATTGTTTGGTTCGACGTTAGTTGTCTAAGCTGTATCCTCTCATTCTACATGATGGCGAACCGAATGCAAAATCGTATGTATCCTCGGGCAGAAACGCCGCTGGTCTGTGTGCGCAATGATTCGCTTTGCGTCTCAGAGGGTAAGCGTTGAGCATTCTCCATCCTACGTAGGCCGCAACCGGCTCACAAACTTTGTTGATGCTAGTTTGCGATCAACTGTGGGCTTAGAATCGGCTTGCCGAGGGCAATAGTACCCAATCCAGTCGCAGAATCAAGGCAAAGAGTGGCTCAAGTGATTCTTCGGCCTGAACATCGTCAAACACTCTGCATGCCGCCTCTTCCGTCTGTATGCTGTAGACTTTCTCCTTTCCTCCCTCGAGATTTGATAGTTGAGAGCATCAAACCATGACTCCTTTTCACAAGCCTGTAGTCGCTAATCGAGTTATAGTCGTCAAAGGACGGTCAGAATCCAATAGCGCTGAACAGCGTATAGCTGGCATACGTCCGGTCGCGAGACTGGGGACTCGTTAGGGGCAGCATCCTTGTCGCAGATGTGTTTGTGCAACACTCGACATGGTTTACTTTTCGATTGTTTTTGTGAGACTCGGGTTCGCCATATCCTTATTCAGCCAGCGGGTTCGCGTGTATGGTTACTTTTTCTATGCGAAACGGCTCCTTTGGACGGCTCTTCTTGTCCACCTCGACGGCCTCCATCTTGGCCAGTGTCACGAGGCCCTCGTCGCCGATAACTTTGCCAAACACGGTGTTCAAGCCGTCGAGATGGGGCGCCTTGTCAAAGGTGATGAAGAACTGCGAACCGTTTGTGCCAGGACCTTTGTTGGCCATGGAAACGAAGCCCCTGCCGCTGTGTCTCAGGGCGGGTCGTATCTCGTCTTCGAAAGGGGCGCCCCATATCGACTGTCCGCCCTTCGGATTCTCGGCAGTCGGGTTGGCGGGAGCTCCTGTTTGCACCATGAACTTTGGAATCAGGCGGTGGAAGGGCGACTGGTCGTAGTAGCCGGAGGCGCAAAGGGCGAGAAAGTTCTATTGCGGTTCGTTAGCAGCGGTCCTGGAATCTGAAAAAGTTTGGAGAGAGGGAAACATGCCTCGGCCGTCTTGGGGACACTCTCGCAAAAGACTTCAATCTTGATGTCGCCTAGCGACGTGTGTAAAGTGACAGACATTGTGTCGCCGGATTGAAGAACTTGTGTCCAACTGTGATATTCAGAGTGTAATGTTTGTTCGGGTTGAAACAAAAGTCGATTTGCTATGGATGGCCAAAGCTTCAAGGTGGCTGTGAAGCTCAGCCCAGTCTAAACCGCATTGGGACCAGGGTGGACGCTATGGACTTTGTAGTCTGCTGGGACAATCTAATGTCACTCCACTACAGAATTCAGGCGGAGGGGTTACATTGCGAGACGGGAAACGCAAAATGTGAGATGTGGCCCGAATCTCGCCTGTTGGGATTCTCGAAGAAAAGAAAAAGGGGCAGAAAACGTGACGAATAGTGGACGAATAGTGAGGAATGCTGATGACGGTTGAGTAATCAGCGGTGACCGGGTGTTGAGCATCTTGTTGCTGTTCCTGGATATTGTTGGATCGGACGAGGCTGACTGCGGCTGTAATAGAACAGTCTGAGTGAGCCCGATGGAGTACTTTGCGCTGCTAGGGACCCTTACCGGGAACCAAACAAACACCAACTAAGCTTGGGTACCTATCTTTAACTCAATCGACGTCAAAGCCACAGCGATCATCCAGACTATCCTTTGCCTATCTCGTCCATAGAGTCCATTTCCGGATACAGTATGCGCATATATGCATACAAGCACACGTGCAATGTGACATACAAGACATCACCGGTTTTATGAGGAATCAAAGCGCACCAAATCCAAATCCAAATGCAGGCCCTGGCATCTCTCCTCCTGCTCCCATTATGGAGCTCGCCAAAAAAAGCCTTGCCGCTCCCCCTGTCGCCGCGGTAAGAACTGGCAAGGGGACAAAGATGCCCGGACGGTGACGCAGTCGAACGGGCCAACGAACGACAGGCACGGTGATGATATTATTACAGGTCCATTTTACGCCGTACGGGGAATGGCAGAGGCCTGGCGCTGCGAATAAGCCGGACATGTACGAGGTACAGGGACGAGCTAAATCGCATACGACGGCGGTACGAGGGCGACTAGAAACATCGATTAGAATGTGCCCTACTCGTTCAATTTACTCGCAAAGGTTAATCTGCTTATTCTTGCAATTCTTAATCTGATTATTACTTTTCTTATAAATATTAGAAGAGTGTCAGGAGTTGTAGTCAAGCACGTGCATGCGGTTGAAAGGGTCAAGGCCATCTCACCTTACGTCGCCTCACCTCACCTGCGTGCAGGATACACGTACCGTGCATGTCATGGACCATTGATGATTTCTCGAACCACACACAGCGTGTCTCTGCCCTACGGCAACAGGAACAGGCTGAATCCAGACTGGACGGAGTTAATCGCGGGGTACTTTGCCGTATCCATGAAATGGGCCAGATGGAGCCTCAGCCATAGCGCCAGCAACGCAACAGGGCTGTGGGCTAAGTAAGTAAGATATTAATGGAACGGCCTACATATGGACGTAGATTGTCGACACCCACGCCTTGCCGGGCCGCACACCCAAATCACAATCCTATTCTCTTCCTTGCCTCGGAGCTGAAACCAGCGAGCATCTCGGATTTTTCCTCGGCGACGACGGCGGGAAAGGAGGTGAGACAGACAGACAGACAGACAGAGAGCACGCAGCTTGAAGCTTATTATAACGAGCTCGCCCTGTGCGCGTGTGCTTTACCGGCCTTGTTCTGTGCCGCGTCGCTCGTTTTCTGCTTTGCTTTGCTTGCTCAGCTCAGCTCATTTTACTTCCTTTCCCTTCTATTACCTCTCACGCTCACTCGTTCACTCACTCGCTCTATTTTTCTGGCCCCCGTTTCCGCCTTGACAAGCTACTGCTGCTGCTCCTCCTGGACATAATTAGCTCCATCAGTAAGCTCAAGCTTCCTGTGCTCAGAGGCGCAGGCGTCATCTCAACCGGGTCCGGCGCCACAAGCCCCCCCGCTGCTGTTCTCGAGCAATCTCACCAACCTGCCTCAAACCGGCGCACAATCCAATTTCTGCTGTCCAATCTATCGCATTTGATCCCCGAATCCTCCCAAGTACCTGGTACTATCCTGTAGGTGCTCCCATCCCATCCCGTCCCTCTCAGCTTAGCGACCCGGCGCCTTGTCTCGTCTCGTCCTCCCAAGCACCAGCAGAGCCGCTGCAGCTCCACAGAAGCTAATGCATCTTGCGGCCAGTCCCCGATTTCAGCTGTCGACGAGGGTCGCCATTGCTCGAGCCGCCTTACCTAAACCACCCCCCAAAAGGCGCCGCTGCTGCTGCCTCTCCTCCTGTCAAACTCGCCTTCCAACCGTCCCTTTGCGACAATCTCGACACCTGCAGCGCCAGCGCGCCGAGGCTGATGCTGACGCTGCTCTCGATTGCTGAGCCCTGCTGAAAGCGAATGCGACCCGGTCTAGGCGATCCGATCCCGCTGGCACGAGCCCTGTGAACCAGAAACCCACCCATCCGCAGCGTGCCAACCCCACCTTGGCATCGACCCGCCTGTTCTTCTTCTTCCTGTGTCTGCGTCTCTGTTTCTTGTGCGGTCTGGTATCGTGACGGCTGCTCACCGAAGAGGCCTATGCCTGCTGGTCATCTGCTGTCGGCCCAGGCTTGGGGGATCCAAACTCAACAAACTCCCACGGCTCCGAGCTCGCGACTCCACGACCGCTGCCTCGACGCTCCCCTGACATCCAAGCACCGATCTCCAGCTCTGCCGCTGACGTCTCCGCCACCCTCCGCGCATTCGTAATCCTGCGACAACTGCGACGACCACAAGTTACCGCGATAGCATGGCGACCACGCCAGCCAGTGTCCGGGTCTCGGGCCCTCCAAACAGGAGCTTTCTCGTGGGATATCCGGGCATCTCCGCGACTCTGGTACGTTGGCTGTAGCCTGCCATACCTCCCCTCGCCAGCTCCGTCTTTGGTCCGGGGGATGCGACCAAGAGACTCGGCGTCCAGACAAGCTTGTGCTGACAGCTAACCATTCTACAGCCACGGATCGAGGGCAAGGTTGAGATTCGACCGGGCCATGGCTACTCCATGCCCGTGCCGGTGTCTTTAGTACGGATAAGCCTGCAGAAGCGCGAAACCATCCACCCCGACGCCGATAGCCTCACCAAGCGACATCTCGGCGCCCCCCGAAAAGAGACGACAGATGTCGTCGGCAAGGAGGTGCTGCTATTTAGATGCTCATCGGGCAAGGACGCCGAGAACGTCATCTCCATGGACCTACCCTTTGTCATCTTCATCCCCTTCGGCAGGGGCGGAGAAGAGACCAACCGAAGAATACCGCCGGCGTCCCTGCAGCTCCCTAGTAGGATCGCTGAGACGTACTACGAGCTCGTGGTGACAGTCCAGCAAGGCCACAGCAACCAATACAGATACAGCTTTCCGCTCCCTCTCCTCCGATACGACACTCTGTCCACCTTTGGCATGTACAACAAGCCTGAAACGAAGATGATTGCGAGCGACAACCTCGTCAACCTCGGCATCAACCTACCGCGCTGGAGCTACGGCCCCAACGATCCCATTACCGTATACATCAAGATATCTCCCAACCCCGACTGGTGGAAAAAGGCCCAGAAGGTCACCATAGACAAGATCACGCTGGGCATAGAGGAGGAAATAACGTTCAACCCGGAGGGCGACGAACCGACCAAAAAGGTCAACAAGCTAGCGAAGCAAGTCCAGGTTGTCAAGACAAAGTTACCGGAGGCTGGATACGCAACCAATATTGGCCTGGTTTTCCCCTCGAAAGATCTGAGAGACCCCGACGGCATCATCAGGAGGGGCAAACCGGCCTTTCCCCAGTACGAAGTTGTCTCATTTACCACCTCATCAACCCTTTACAAGATTGAGTTTTATCTCAACATCAAGGTATGACCTCTTTTCTGTTATGTGTTTGCCTTTGCTTTTCTTCGAAGAGAGCCATCGCTTACATAGCTGCGTGTAGGTACAACTGAGTGGTGCCAGAGACCTCCAAATACGACAACCCATCGTGATATGCCCGCTGGATCAGCAAGGCTGCAAGGAGGAAATGGACGCCATCGAAATCGCCGCCAGAGAGGCCTCGCATGTCGACCCGAACAACCCCATGCTTCCCGCCCACTCAATCGTCCTAGCCAACGATCGAGATTCGTTACGAGCTTTGGGCCTGTGTATGGTTGGTGGCCAGAAGAAGCCATTTATCGAGTGATTTGGCCGATTTTACAATGGGGCCAAACTGAGCATGCCCGACCGGCATGAAGAAATGAGAATTTAAAAAGAGTCAGAAACGATGTGCGCCAAGAAGCGAATATCTCTTCGACTACAGCTACGTCGCAAAGAGCAACACATACAATGTATGCCTTGCCGCAAGCAATCGAACACCTCGGAGCATGCTTAAATCAAGCATGAGCAGCGATAGATTATCAATCTGACCCCTCGGCGAGATCAAGCCGAGTTCGATACAGCGAGGCGTTCGAGCAGCACCCACCGGCCAGAGAGTTTTGAAAAAGAATACGATTGGCTAACAACAAACGGTACACCATATACCCATTTGAAAAAGGCGTTTTTATTTTGTTTTTTCTTATTTGGTCCACTGAGGTGGGAAGTGGGAGCAGCTTCTCTATTTTGACTCAAGGCATAGTGCATGGCGTTTCTAGGCCACCTCGGACCGCTTGAGGTCTGGGAGGGAAGGGGGGGTTTTTGGGAGGAGGGCTTTTATTTTGGAGACGCTCGCAAGCTGGCTGGGACAATACACGGTTTTGGCACATTGAATGCGCTGGATATGTGCTGGGATGGATTCCGGAGTGCGCGGCTTCTGTTATATAAAAAATTCCTGAAGCTGGCTTTCTTTTTTCATGTATTCAACGATGACGAGGCTGATGAGATACTGGACTCTTAATACATGTACTGTAGTATATATATTTCTTGGAGGAGACTGGTTTTTAGGTGTGCTGTACGTTTTTGTCAAACTGGTTGGTGGAGGAGAGGGGAGGATATCAATCTCACCAAAGAGCAGTAATAAATACCTTATTCATGTATGTAGGGTGCACAGGCTTGGAATGTATAGCAGTGTATATCACGATAATGATACAGAAGTCCATGAAAGATGATAACCAATTCTCTCTCTTCACAGGTCAGTACTAAGGTATATAAGAGTGAATAACATACTTCCTGTCGCCCTCTCGGGGGTGGTGCAGTGGCCTACCGGACCAGAGCCTCTAGGGGACTGGTACGTATCCGGACTCGTCTTGAGGTAGGCCACTGCACCTTATTCTTCATTTTTGGTCGTGAGTTCGAATTTCAAACAGGCCTCTTTTTTTCTACTCTGTTTGCAAGTATAGTGTCCAGGAAAATGTACGCCGCCTACGTTACCCATGTATGCAAGATGCATACATGCCTAGTAGTATTGAGATGCATGGCAGTGTATATCACGGCAATGATACAAAATTCAATGGAGAAACCAGCAACCACTCGCCCTAAGTAGGTACTAAGGTATATAGGAGTAAATAATGTAGTTTCTGTCGCCCCTCGGGGTGGTGCAGTTGCCTACCCAGTTTGACCAGATCCTTTCGAGCACTGGTACGTTCAACTCACATTGAAGCCGGGCATGACGGCAAGCACCTTATTCTTTTTTGGTTGTGAGTTCGAACTTTGAACAGTATTTCTTTTTTTTACTCTAATATATTTGCGAATGTAATGTCAGGAGAAGAGTCTTCCATTTAACTCGTACGAGAGAGCTCATAGATGGGCAGATCAAACCCCCTTGAGGAGGTATTATTATCCAAGAAGAATAAATTGATGATTCTGAAATAGCCAGAAGATATTAAGCGTAAAGGGGGAGAAGTAACTCAGACGGGTACTTCTGCCTGCTGCTAAACCCTGAGAGGAATTAGGTAGTTCGAAGTGCAGCTTCCCCAACACTGGCACTGCCTGGCAGCTGAAACGCACTCATTCCGAGAAAATCGGCACTTTTCTACTTTCTTCTGCAACATTCTCTTCTTTCTCTCTCCTCGTCTTCGCTATTCTGCTCCTCCGTACCCAGCTCTGAACGTGATCAATCGAACTCGGCTGCCATGAATTTATCCACCGCCAACGGCCGAATCCCTTTTGACAAAGGTCCTACCCGCACAATATAAAGAGAGTTCTTGATTCAGCGGAACAAAGAAGCTCACCCTAGAAACAAAAGACAGCCCACTCGTAATGGGTGAGCCGGCTGAAGCTGAGCCGGGTGCTGAGGAAGGTATCCCATTACCTCCATGCAATACGTTGATCGAACACCTAACTCTGGAGACGATTAACTAGAACAATGAGCTAGCCAACCAACACCACGAGAATCACAGACACAGTTTCATTCCTCCGAGAAGCGAAACTAGAATCTAGGAGATCTTCGTCGGTGAGCAACTCGTTTAGGAATCCCATGGCGACCTTTCTCAGCTTTTTGAGGATCCCCGGCGGTATATTAAGGGCTTTCAGATAGGGCGTCCAAAGGCGGAAGCTGCAGATTCCGTCGGTCTTCCTTCGCAGGATCAAACCATCACATATCACGTCTCCCAATCGTGGGTTGCTGCATATCTGGTTTGGGTGTCTGTCAGGGGGCGCATACTTGTTTATGGGGCTTATGTGAGGCCCTCAGTAAAGGGCCTTCAGTGTCTCGACAGACTTTTGACGGATCTCCTCCAAGGTATAGTTCCCGTCTTTAAACAGCTCAGAAAATCTGCCATACTTGACGAACAGCTTCAGTGGGATGAAGTTTCCAGAGAACATCAGCGAGTAATGGAGGATGGTCTGCCGACCTTCACGAGAGATGCTCGACCTGACTGGGGAGACAACCTTGGACAGCACAGAACTGACACATGAGGTGACAAATCAGACAGCGACTCTCCAGATGATTGCAGGCATCACAGAAACGAAGAACTCCCAACAGCAGCAGTCAGGGGAGAGACGCAAATGGCACACTCTCATCATGATGCAGACTCGACCTCATCGCTTGTTCAGAATGGCAACGCCACTGCAAATCAAGCGCTAGAAACCACTCGAAACCACGAAGAGCACTTTGATACCATAATGATACAAGACCAGGAGGCAAAAAGCAAGAGACACAGACACTCGGCAAAGGACAAAGAAATGGACAGGCTGCCAGCTTTTGAAGGGCACCGACATCGAACTCTTTCTAAGGACAGCGAACGAAGTAAAGCTCGTGAAGGAGCGCCATATTTTAGGAAACAACACTCACACCACAGTGATCAGTTTACCTCATAAAGGG